TTATCCAAACGGCGAGGAGAGTTAAATGTCGCAGGCGGCTAGATAAATAGATAGATAGATAGATAGATAGATAGATAGATAGATAGATAGATAGATAGATAGATAGATAGATAGATAGATAGATAGATAGATAGATAGATAGATAGATAGATAGATACGCTCAAGATCATCGGCGTTCACTAAGAAATGCTTCGAATTTTATAGTGCTCTCCGTTCATACATATGAGTCTAAAAGAATATAAGTGGAGCTTGGCACAATGCCTTGGCCGAAGAGCCAGCGATCCATTAGCTAAGCAATGTGCGCCGAGGAAAGTTAAACTCACTCACAGAGAACATGGACCACTAGAGTTGGCGGGACAAAATTAGGAATTAAGAACGTAAAACAGAACCGGCTAGCACGTGATTAGCGTAATTGGAGGTTGACGCGAGTGGCCTTCGCCTCGAAATGGGCACTAGTAGTTTGATTGTGAGATTGTCTCTGATATCGTGAGATAGTGAGATTCGAAGTGCTAGTGCAAGAATTGAACTTATTAGGCAGAATAAATGGTAGAGAAGGAAAGGTAGGGAAATTAAAAAGTTCAGGATAACCGGTTAGCTAACCTACACGCAGGAACAGTATGGGGGAGACTAAAACAGGGAGAAGAAAGACAAAGAAAGACAGCCCACAACACAGCATGTTCACAAGCACGCAGCCAGTAACAGTTTACCAATCTGGCATGGAGCGCGAATGCACTTTCACAGTCGCTTGTCTAAACGGTATTGCTAGCAATAATATTTTTTTGAAATTCTTTACAGGCCTCTTGGGCATTGTGTAAGAAGGGCTCTAAAATATCATCAGTGAGAAAAAAATGTAAAGGAATCATACGCCACTAAGAAACGAATCAGAAAAAATGTGAACATTTTGTAAATAAGATGTACATAGTGCATAACATAATACATAGTGAATGAACACATGATGCATACATAACAGTGGTACAACACACACACACACACACACACACACACACACACACACACACACACATATATATATATATATATATATATATATATATATATATATATATATATATATATATATATATATATATATATATATATATATTGTGTTTTTTATTAATGGGCAATGAACCACTTCAGTGAAAATGAGCAATCAGTTGGTGGCGGAATGTGTGAGAGTTGCACATTTAAGGTATGTTTTCTGGCAGGTTATTTCGTAATGTAACAGCTCGTGAGAGTGCTGATAAGTTGATTGCATGTATGCGTGCGAAACTAAAATTATTATGTAATCTTCTGGATATTCGGAATGTGACATTGAGATGAAGAGAACGTGACCTCTCAGAGTGAGTGGACGTGTGGAATAATGTTAGTAGGGCTTTTTAATGGCGCATTGCTAAAAACTGTAAGCCAAAATCGGTATTAATTCATCTGACACTGCTGCAGTAACTGTAGTTTTGTTCCGTGCTGCCCTATTTTAAATGGATTCTAGGGCGTCGATCACGGTATTGTGATATAGAGACCAAATGAAGGATACGATCTCAAGTTGTGGGTGAACAATTGTGAGGTAAGCTAGTTTACGAATATTACCGGGTGAATTTCTGAGGTTGCGTCGTATGTAAACAGAGGACTTTGAAGCAATAGAGCATAGCGATGAAATTATGAAGGGATCATGAAAGATTACAAGAAGTGTGAACAACAGGGTACTTGCAATGGGACACGTGTGATTGTAAGTTGCCCTAAATGGGGTATGTATAATTAGAATTGTTATGCTTACAGCTGAATGTGGCTACCTCATATTTTGATGATTCAAGGGTCATTATCCATCTGTTGCACCACTCGTTAATAAGATTGAGAACACACTGGAGTGCCAAGTCGAACACACTGGAGTGCCAAATTTTAGGGTAGTAGGCTGGCAGTCGCTATGCTAATTTTCGTCATTCTTCTGAGAAGCGTGGTATCCGCTGAACACTTGCAAGAAAGTTTGTGCCGATTGTTCATGCAGTGACTGACGACGATGAGAAAAGATGGCTGAACTGAGCATGCGCCATAGTTTATAGGTTTACAAGAACAAGCTTTTGTAATGTGTTGGGCATAGGACGGCCCACTCGTTACGCTATTCTCATTGTGCGGCGACTGGTTGTTTTTTCGCTGTTTTAAAACACTTTATAAGGCGTATTACCGCGATTGCTTTCCCGATATCAAGCCTGCCTAAGGCAAGCTTGCCAATAAGTCCCCAGCAGCGGCGTGACTCAGTGGTTGAATACTGGGCTGGCCCCCAGCAGACCCGAGCTCGAGCCTCACAGTGTCATTGGTAATAGGGATTTTTTCTGTATATTTTCGTGCGATGTGCTTACGGACACCGGTGGCGGGGGCGGCGGCAGACAACTACGGCACCGCGCGTGACTTGAGTTTTGATCTCATAAAAGCTTTCACTGTAAAATAATAATGTACCCAGTACGCTGCCCTGTGGTACGCTTGAGGTAACTGGGGAAATTTTAGAGGAGGGATTGTTAACGAGGATGAATCTTCGGCAGTTCTAAAGAAAGTTACGTGTTCATGATTACGTTATTGAGTTTAAATGATGTGATGACAATTTAGAAATCAAGTGACAATGAGCTACATGATCAAAGGCTTAGGTGAAATCCAGAAATACGCAGTCAGTTTGTGGGTTATTATTCATGTTAAAATGCCAGTCAGTCGTTAGTTCCAATAGCTATGTTTCGCAGAAGTGATTCTTTCTGAAGCTGTGTTGATTATGGTAAAAAAATTATTATTCTCGAGAATATTGAAAATCTGACATGCAATAATGTGCTTTAGCATTTTGCAAGATATACATGTGAGAGATATACGAGGGTAGTTTTTCCGTGTGCTTTTGTTTCCACTTTTAAATATCTCTACGACTTTTGCAATTTTCCAATCAGAGGGTAGTATTTTGTTCGTTAGAAACTGCTCAGAAATTTAACGCAAAAAGTTGGTGAATACACTATTAGTATTTTTAAATATTTTAGAATCTATTTCATCAATACATGCGGAAGTAGATAGTTTGAAGTTATTGTATAGTGGTAGCTGAAAATATGAATAATGCATGGGGTGAGTCAGCTTTCTGTATTCCTGTATATTAGCGCACATAAACTCGATAAACGCAGGCCTAAAATACTTTTTCTGACGTCAGTATTGCGCGGATTTTTTCCAAGCTCGCAGCTGAAACTGGAGATGCGACTGGCCAAATAACGTAATAAAACTATGGATAAACAAATGCGGCTGCTCGTTGATTTGATTTGTGGGGTTTAATGTCCCAAAACCACCATTTGATTATGAGAGACGCCGTAGTGGAGGGCTCCGTAAATTTCGACCACCTGGGGTTCTTTAACGTGCAACCAAATATGAGTAAACGGGCCTACAACATTTCCGCCTCCATCGGAAATGCAGCCGCCACAGCCGGGATTTGACCCCGCGACCAGCGAATCAGCAGCCGAGTACCTTAGCCACTATAGACGACCGTGGCGGGGCGCGACTGCTCGTTGCAGTATGCGAAACTAATTATTATGTTTGGATTGAATTTCTCATTGTGCAACTGGTATTCTTCTGGGCAATTCCCTTCGTTACCAAGAACGTGGCTTCATAAGATACAGGGGAAAAATCATGGGTTTTACGGCAAACATTGAAAAATGATTACGATATGGTGCTTTAGGGGGGGGGGGGTACCACTGAAGAACACAAATTCAGCAACCTTGGTAAGCACTTGCACAAAACTAAACGGGTGTTATTGCACTTTGTCTCGATCCTAATGCTTTCGCCATGGTCGAGAAACGAATCCACTACTTATACACGCAAAGTACAAGCGGCAAGTAAATCCCAAAAAGTTTATTTGTAAATAATAAAAGAAATAATGAATGACGTACATTTTGTTTTTCGTGACTACATATTTTCTGTGAGCATTTCTTTTCTTCTAGACAACGCAACACAGAGAGGGAAAGTGAAATCTAACGTTATACGCTGGCCAACCGGTAGGAGGAGAGCTGATAGTCGACCGTACTGGCAACCAGCCAATTGCGCAAGATGCCAGTGCAGTTGCAATGAGGCAAACAAGGAAAAAAATATATATTGAACCTCCAAACGCCATAAAACGCTCTTACGTGGAAAGGTGAGTATGCGAGGGAAATGGCGACGCATTGACGTAAAGGGTGAGGTACAATAAATAAAGTAACGGAGCGCTTTCCTCTCAGTGAATGAAGCCAGCTTAATCTCTCCCTCTCCCTTTCACTCTCGAATGATTCGCCTGGTGCATGTGTACTCGCGTCGTGAAATCAGCGTGTTCAGGGGAGCCCCGCGTTGAGACATATTGCACTGTCGGCCGGTGTGTGCGCTAACCACCGCATATTCGTTAGCTCATCGGATTCACGACGCTGCGGCCAGTCCCGCCATCCTGCATTGCGAATAGTAGCAGTCCCCCTGTCAGGCGGACACGTACGTCTACTTTCTGCCTAATACCGTCGTGTTTCGTCCCAGCGCGCCACCCTTTTAAAGTGGAACAGTTCACTTCGAAGATCACAAACTTACGAGCTCGCTTCACCGGCGTTAACGCGTCTTTCCGCGGGTGCTCATGCTTAGCTGAAGTTCCGAACAAAAAAAAAAAAGCTTCTTCGTTGTCCCCACTCTACTCTTCGATATTTGCTTGACGCGAGTGTCGGTAGGCCTTTTTTTTTTTGAGTGACAACGAAGACCTTCGATGCTCACCCAAGGGGCGTCGCGTTGAGCGGTGTGGCGGCCAAGTTTCCTGCGGGGCCCCAAACAAAACGGCAACGGAATCTGTGCTTACGGAGTGGGGGTATCTTGCAAACGGATTCGCAAACATCGACGCTTCTGCATTAACCCCGGACCACCGGTGTGCTAACTGTCAGGAGGGTGTAGATCGTGAAGACAACAAGAAGTGCCACGTGCATATCTTTCAAATATGAGGCCGGCACTCGTGGTGGTTTGTGTGCTGCTACGCTTCACAGTTCGGCATGCGCGAGCCGAGCAAGATGGAATGGATGACTCCGGAAAACAAGGTGGCAGCGAGAGCACCGGCGACGAATTAGACTATCTTCAAATGCTACGGAACGCTCTGGCCAGTGGCTTCGCCAACATGCCGATCGCTCTGAGGAGAAAGCTGCTGAGTGCGGACATCGCGCCGGAGTGCAACGCGGGCCTGCTACGTACCACGCGGGCCTTTCAAAACCTGGAACCTTGGGCACTAAGACGTGAGTTTACCGAAAGTACAGAGAAACCTGTACTACCCTGCTTTTCGCGAACGACGTACCAGTGACACCCCTAAATTCATTAATCGTTCAGATTTTTTTTCTATGGTTGAATTACTGGAAACATATTGCGAATACTTGACTCACACACAGAAAAAAAGAATGTATGGAGTCGCGCTCTTCGCGAAAGCGTGGCGATGGGGCTCAACCACGCCAGTAGCATGCACGCAGCGATACCATGGAAACTAGTGAAAAGAAAATGTTATCTGTGAATGACGTGAATAGAATAGTCAATGAGGCAAAAACTGAAGTGAGAAATAGCTGATCCTTATTTAAGATTAACAAGAATAAATACGAGGAAATATGAGGCAATCGGATTAACCAGTGATCTATTAATGGTAAAGGGGAAGTGCCAAGCGCATGAATGCGCAGTCAAGGCAGGCCGATGAATAGGCTGTCTGATACAAAAAAGAGGCCTGTCAACAAAACTTGTCATTGGCACAAGGTCTTAGGCGGTGGTAATTGAATATTAAAGTCAAGTTACGTAAATTGTGTGTGCCAATAAGGTATAAGGCAGGTTGTTAGCGCTCCTCCTTTCTTGCTCGTTGTGCTTTTGCGGATCTCAGTTCCAGGCGCAGTGCATCTGCCAGGTGACCAGTTCTTTGTTAGGAACGAGTAGGTTGAAAAGCAACAGCGAGGATGCATGACCCCCACAGTAGAGCGAGAGAAAGATAAAGATGCAAGGAAAGGCAGGGAGGTTAACCAGAGGCACGTCCGGTGTGCTACTCTGCAAAGGGCGAATGAATGAAGGGGATAAAAGTGATAGGAGAGAGGGAAGAAAGATACACAATGTCAAATACACACTCGAGGGAGCAGAGTTTTTATACAACCTTTTGTAGTGTTGGCATGGCTTCACTGGCAAAAACTCGACTGAAAAATGAGGAGCAGTACCGTCATGAGCTACCGGATTTCCTTAAATTGCTAAAAGGCTCTATTGCTGGAGCAAGGGGCTTCCTGCAACATTGAGCAACAGTTTTGATGACTACGATAAGCGGAACAGACACACGCGCTTTGGCACTGTAGTTGAGTAAGTGCTGTGTGAGGCAGGTACGTAAGGGGCAGGCTTCGGTACAGCGTGAGGACGACGGAGGCGTAACTGTTAAGACGGGACAAAGTTAAGCGCTTACTCATAACGGAAAAGCTGTATTTAAAGAAGCTGTATTTCAAAGCTGTATATGATTGTGAAAGTAATTAAATAAAGAAGCGTATGAACAATGCGCAGACATCTTAGGCGCAAAGTCGATATTTTTTGTTTTTATTGCTTTTACGTTCTTGTGTTTGGAAATGAAACTTTTGATTTGCCAGTCAGTCGAGTTTTAAATATCGCTGTAATGACCCAAATTTCTACGCACTATTTCTGACGGCACCCGTCTTCCCCTTCCTCAATGCTTTCATATGTCGTGACGCGATGTCACGAAGCATTTGTAGGTGTCATGGCACCATTCAAGATAGGGTTCATTCTTCGCCAATTGGCCACAAGCCTGGCTTACAGGGTACCAAGACAGCACTGATAAAGTTCATTCCTTCCTTTAAGCATGATAGTGAGATTTGCAAGGAGGCCATTTACGATAAACCATTTCTGAGTGGTAACTGTAGCTGCCCTATTCCCTGCAGGTGCCTCTTCGCTATACAGCTCTCAAAGAAAGAGGTTTTCCAACTTCATATTCCATGTGAATACAAGTAAACATTGAAATGGCGCCGTTGGGTCGCTACTGCGGTGTACGAGGTGATGCCTAATGCACTGTACAATATGAAAAATATCAAGAAGATTTAGAGAAAGTGATGTAGTGAACTGGTCTCTAAATTTTGTTCTGTTGGTACATTTAGGGAAACTATCGTTGAAATTTGGTGAACCTAACAACAAACAGAAAGTGTGTAACGGAGCAACGGCACACAATATCATGATTCTGAAGCACCGCGTATTGAGACTACTCAAATTATTGAGACTACTCAAATTAGCAAGTACTAACACATAGGTGTTCGGCATGCAGGCATTAGCTTATTAGACAATAAGACTTTTAGACAGATGTACGTTTTTTGCTGAACATGCCTTTTCGTACACATGATTACCAGTTTTCTATAAAAAATATTGTGTTTAATGGGCTATTGTAAGTAAAACAACAGTGTAGCGTCTTTATATACGCAAATCTAGCTAATAAAATTAAAAATTCACTTTTACCAGCGTAGTATATACTTATACAAATATGATTATTAAGAGTCAAAATGCTCGAGGTATTACAGAAGATACACGAAATGAAGTGGCAAGTGTGTCTCAAATTGTTATTAGAAGCATGAGAAGTTGGGCCGGTTGGTATGTTTAGAAGCAAAAGAAATCAGTGAAAACTCAATACAAGGACGGTAGAGAAGGCACGTTCAATCATCCCGGCTGCGGTGGCTGCATTTCCGATGGAGGCGGAAATGTTGTAGGCCCGTGTGCTCAGATTTGGGTGCACGTTAAAGAACCCCAGGTGGTCAAAATTTCCGGAGCCCTACAATACGGCGTCTCTCATAATCAAATGGTGGTTTTGGGACGTTAAACCCCACAAATCAATCAATGGCACGTTCAATCACGCATGGTCACTGAAATTACAACCAATTTATTGACCCCTTATCCCGTGTACGCGTACAAGCTACAACCGGAAGCCTATGATCAGCCCGATATTCAATCATCATTCAACCAATCAATCAATCGAACTTTATTTTTCATGAACAGAATAGTTTAAATACAAGTATTATATAAAGCAATAGTCCAAAGTGGCTAGTGTCCGGTTCAATACAATATGCTACAAAGAGTGTGCTGCACAGCTTTGAGGGAGAAAAGAAAAATGATCATATGAATCCAGACAATACATGCATGCATTTTCTTTTTTAAACGTACTCAGTCTGACCCTCAAATATACATGAAGGAATGCAATGGTTACAAGCGTTTGTTTCGCAAAACCAGCCTTCTATAGACAGTGGAAATCAGAACATTGAACGCAAACAGCTTGAGATGTGCCCCATTAGAAGAATGGTGCATTTGCATAAATGAACCTTCAGTGCGGCCTATCACACACACACACACACACACACACACACACACACACACACACACACACACACACACACACACACACACACACACACACGCACACGCACACGCACGCACACACGCACACGCACGCACACACGCACACGCACACGCACGCACACACGCACACGCACGCACACACGCACACACACACACACAAATGATTGATTGATATGTGGGGTTTAACGTCCCAAAACCACTTCATGATTATGAGAGACGCCGTTGTGGAGGGCTCCGGAAATTTCGACCACCTGGGGTTCTTTAACGTGCACCCAAATCTGAGCACACGGGCCTACAACATTTCCGCCTCCATCGGAAATGCAGCCGCCGCAGCCGGGATACGAACCCGCGCCATGCGGGTCAGCAGCCAAGTGCCTTAGCCACTAGACCACCGCGGCGGGGCACACACACACAAATGAGTGGCTATTTCTTTCAGGGTGCACCTGAGTATCGTGCAAATAAAATGATGGGCTCCGTGTTGTAGCTGGTGCTCGTGCGTGGGATGAAGGGTTTGAGTTCCCGTTGATGCGTCACTAAAGTGGTTTCAAGTCCGGTTATATTGTGCAATTTATTGTGCCTTTTTCTTCCTTGTCTTGATTTCTCGTTGGTTTTTTCTCGAACGCAAGTCATTACTAGCAATGCGGGAAGGCAATTACAATAATGTGATGTGTGCGGTACGAGTGACTGTCGAAATGAGACAGCTTTAGGCGATGGTATGCCTACCTTATCACCATGAAGCAAATGGCTGCGAGGCAATGTGAAAAGGATGCATTGAGTGGTTACGTATATAGTATAATGGCAATAAATTTTGTTAATTAAGGGCTAAGCAGAGCATCGGGTCGAAGTTCAAAGCGAAGCTTCCATAACGTCTCTGCGGCGGCTACAGCTTTTCAGCATGTGCCGTTAACAAAGGCGCAGCCACCAAGGTAGGTTTTATTACTCTGTCAAGTGGTTGCCTTTGGGGCGTTTATTTGCATAAAATATACCAGTAAAGCTGAAATCAATCGTGTGCACCTGCGTCACGAGCATATCCGGTACGCGACCCTGTTACAAACTTCAGACGCCAGTCCTGGTCAGCGAGGAACGGTTTGAATACGTAATCTCACCCTACTTACGGGATAACTGCGTAAAACAACGAGTAATTTACGAGACGCCTCATGGTTTGCGCAGCTTTTTCCGAAGCGTCTGTGAGAGCATTTTCTATCTTACGGAGAACGGTGCCCGTTCACGTTGCCAGCAGCGATAGCACGTTCTGCATTCTTATCAAGCTCCACAATTTGTCCTTTATTGTGATAGCACAAAAGGCTGATTCTCGGCTGGTTTTTGCCGACAGTTTCAGGAAACCGAACGAGTGACTGCTCACTACACAGCCCACGGCGTTAACCACTGAGCCACAACAGCACACGTTTATAGACGTAGTAACGGCGAGCCATTTATATACGTATTTTAGTGCTAGTGGCACGGCCGTCTCGGGGGAGATCATCATCGTTTTCTCAGCATTACCCGAGAGATGGCGTACGTGTAGGGCGCGCTCAGTACCCCGCTCGTTGCGATGCATGCACGCCGCTGCGTTCACCTCTCAAGCGTACTTTGCCCCACGAAGGGTGGCTTGTACGTCGTGTGACTTCACCGGAAAGTTACCTCGAAGCTGCAGAGCGCTCGAAGCTCAATTGGCTGTTTGCGGAGGCGCCGTTCACGAAAAGAACGCGCTGTTCAAACACAAGTACTTGTTGGTTCCCACTCGTCTTGCGTACACCTGCGTTTCATGCGTTCTTTTGTGTTTGAGCAGCACGTAAAGTGTCGAGCTGTCAATCTGGTTTGCTCTCGCCCTCTGTGTGCTCTTTTCGTGCGTCATTTGTGATTCATCTGTGCGCTGCATAGTAAAATTTGCTTGCCGTTTTTTCCGCGGCATTCCAACTTGTAGCTATCAAATTCATTGGTTCGCGTTCGCGGCGTAATCGTGACTTTTATATGCCTTAGTAAGGTAAACTAGTTTTACGTTTTGCGATTGAAGTAATCAGCGAAAACTTACGATCATCAATCAGCGTGATGCAGCTGATTGTCGAATGAGGAGTGATATTCCCCGTGCATTTTCATTACTTTGAAAAAGCCGGCTTCTTCTAGGAAACCATACAAGTTACGTCGTCCCATTCGTCAAATATATTGCTAGTGGACGCCCTTTTTTATTACCTAGTCGATAACTAGCAAAAAAGAGAGGCTAAAGAAGTATGTGATTAATAAATGGTGACGAAAGTATACTTTTTACTGAAGTCTCTGTGCTCGAGCAGCTTTCTTTTCGCGCAAGGCCTCATAATGGCTCCTTTTAGAGTAACGCTTCTTGCTTTTGCAATACTGTGGCAACTATCATAACGAGTAACCATATTACTGCAGTCACAAGTTGCCCCACAGTAAAATGCGGACAATAATTATTTCTAACTTGTCGACAGAACGAAGGTATCGAATGCGTCGTTTCAATGTCCATGGCGCAGTCCAGAGACCCCAGTTCCGTAGAAGCAGACTTGTACCTCTTGCCCTATTCTACAAGCGACCCCTAGCATATAATAACCGATTAGTGACGCACCTCGCTTTCTTGCAATCAATACAGCACGTTGCCGAAACGAGTTTTGCTCAAGAATTGTTTTGAAATTTTCCGTAGTGACAGTGAAAAGGTTAGCTTTCGGCACTTAACTTTCGGGTTCCCAAACAGCTAAGTATTCCTTCTATTTTACTGGTAATAGTATCGTCGAGCATCCGATTATTCCATCGCCTCAAATAAATCATGCGCACACTTGAGCCACAGGAAATCCTAGCCGTATGGACTACGCATGCTGCGAATAGTATCCCTGCCCTCATTAAAACGGGGTATGTATGATCCTCCTATCACTTTGACCTGGAACTCAGCTTAGCAAGGTGGCAATGTTTTAAAAACGCACCAGCCGGCTTATCGCGGTTCAGTGCGTGCACTTCGAAATAGTTTGCATTACTAATGTCACAGAAAAAAAAATCTGAGAGAAGAACCTACTGTACCAAAGTACCACTGAGATCACTATTGACGTGTCTTAGTTCATATAGGCTATGTGTTGCCGTATCAAGGTTGTCAATGAAAACAGAAAGCTGCTCTATACGCCGTTTGTTGAGTGATCCGAATCCTTACAATCAAGCTATTTTAGAGTTTTCCATGCTACAAAAGGCCTTATTCTGTTGACGTGTTTAGATATTACCCCATGAAGCATAACGTTTACGCAAACATAGTTACTAAGGTGTTTAAACGATAGAAAATGCGATTTCGGCCTCACCAACACATACATACATACATACATACATACATACATACATACATACATACATACATACATACATACATACATACATACATACATACATACATACATACATATATACATACATACATACATACATACAAACATGCATACATACATACACACATACATACATGCATACATACATACATACATGCATAGATGCATATATATATGCATAGATACATACATATATGCATACATACATACATACATGCGTACATACATACTTGCATACATAGATACATACATACATACATACATACATGCATACTTGCATACATACACACATACATACATACATGCATGCATACACGCATACATACACACATACATGCATACACACATACATACATACATACATACATACATACATACATACATACATACATACATACATACATACATACATACATACATACATACATACATACATACATACATACATACATACATACATACATACATACATACATACATACATACATACATACATACATACATACATACATATATGTCCGACTGCTGACCGGAATGTCGCGGAATCGAATAACGGCCATGGCGGCCTTATTTACCGGGAACCGAAAGCATGACGCTCAAGTATTGAGACGTAGGTGCACATTAAAGATTACATAATCATTAGTTTTCCACAGTCTTCTACTACGGCGTCCTTCATAATCATTTTATGGTTTTGAACGTAAAAGTCGTATTGATTGATATGTCGGGTTTAACGTCCCAAAACCAAGACATGATTATGACAGACGCCGTAGTGGAGGGATCCTGAAATTTCGATAACCTTGGGGTTCTTAAAATGCACACAAATCTGAGCATACGTACCTACAGCATTTGCGCCTCCATCGGGAATGCAGCCGCCGCAGCCGGGATTCGATCCCGCGACCTGCGGGTCAGCAGCCAAGTACCATAGTCACTAGACCACCGCGGTGGGGCAACATAAAAGTCTAGTCGTTACATATGCTACATAATCGTATAGCTTCTTTACTGAATTGATAAAGGGGAGAGGTTTGTGTCGTAATGACGGCTTCGGCTAATCATCGCTTAGCAAACTAAATACGCAATAGAGAAACGTTAATGAAAAGCGCACTGTCATATAGCTAAACGCAACATTTGCAAAAGCAGCAAAACCGAATGGCTCTTGATTGACAAGGAGGAGGAGGAGGAGGAGAAATAATTGAGGAAGGACAGGGAGGTTAGCCAGTTCTCAGACCGGCTGGCTACCCTGTACTGGGGAAGGGGATAAGGGGGATGAAGGATGAGAGAAAAGAGACGTTGTAAAAAAAAGAAAAAGAGAGAGAAGGTCATCAGACGATCCACCATGATTGACAAGATGTTCACAAGCTCAGGTAGGTAAAATAAGTGCAGACGCGTGCGCTCTTCAAAACTCATAATCAGTAGTACCTGACGTACACACAAAATAAAAAGACGAAAAGACACGATTGTTACTAAAACCTAGATTTCATTTAGAATTCTGAACGTATGCCAAGATCGATACTACATATTCCTTTTGAAAAATTTGTTTCACAGAATTTTTGCGTGCGTGAAGTCGCTATCAGTTTGATTTTTGCTACAAAGGCTACCGAGCACAATAGTACTACTGCTACTACTACTACTTCAACGACAACAACAACAATATATACAGCCGCCACCATTACCAGCTTGTTCTCTTTTTTTCTTTTTCATGCATTCTCATACAGTAGCACCGAAAATTATGAACCTTCAACGAGAATGTAAATGACCTGATCATTGTTCCTTCAGTTCACTGTATCCCCATGCAGTAGCAGTGGTAATTAAACACAACCTTTCTTACGTAGTTATCCGGACTGCTCTTTTATTGAACATCTTGATGTACTGGCCGTGTTCTTGCAGTGTTGGATGCGTCCGGCAAGTTCCCCACTGGCCTTCTGCAGGGTTCTCGTGTTGACCTGGGTGCCTTCGACGAATGCCTCGAGACGGAAGTACGCGACAGCTACGGCGACGTGATCACGCGTGCCCAGTACTGCAATCTCCTTGTGTATGTCGAGAACTCCACCGCAGTGGAAGGAAAATTCGACAGCTTCTCCAGCGTCCTTCATCCTAAGGTGGGGTGAATTGCAGTACGCAATATTGCCTTGTAGTAGTGCGAAATCATTTTTACGTCGTGCTTTAACGTATCTGGTCAGCGTCTAGCTGAACATTACGTTACGAAAATGAAAAATAACACAGCGCATGAAAGTAGAATTGCTAACAAACTCTCTATCATATAAAATGTTCTTACTCACTGGAAACTAAATTATTGTTTTTTTTCCGCGTCTAACACCACGTTCTCTCGTTCTTCAACTAACTTACGCTATCTCCCACATATTCATTTTGATGTCCTATGTATTATTCCACATGCACTCTGAGGCATAATATAGCTGTGAATATTCTGGTATATAATATATCACATTATTCATCCCCTGCATGATATGCAAGTGTCTCCACTGTTTTATTTTTCACACACCAAAGTTTGTGCGTGATCATGGGCCTCCCCTAGGTTCTGTTACTAATATAACAGTTTTCTGTAGGGCCTATGTTATAAAATTAGTAAAGGTACAGTATGTTCTTATGACACATAGTGATGGTAACAGCTGAACGGAAGACTGCATAAGCTGTATGTGTCTTTCACATGAAGTTTGTCACCGCCATTGAACGCTAATTGCAGCATGAAGTACAATTGTGATGGGCAGAATATGACGCGCAGCTTGAAATAGACAAGCTTGAAACGAGCAGGTTATTTGTGTTTGGACAAATCATGTTCTGCAAAAAATAAAACAAGAAACACACCATTTCTTCACCAAAGAATTGATATATTTTGTCATTCAATGCAGATTTCTTCTTTCTTAAGCAATCTTTGCTATTGCCTTCACTAAGAATATGTCTGGAAACACTATTGAACGTTTTTTTTCGAAACTGTTGTAACTGAAATAAGCGAGATAGAAGCCAGGAAGGGCCAGGAGATTAACGAGACACACGTGCGCTTCGCTAAGCTGTACTGGAGAAAGGGAAAAGGGGGCGAAAGGGGATATAGGGTAAAATAGAGGGAAAAGGAGAATCACGCGCACTCTTGGGGAGCAGATCAAGTCGAAAGACTTTGTGAATGTGTGAGTCCTGGTTTCTAACGAAAGATAAAGCGCTTATGGCCGAGCGGCGGAGCAGCAAGGTGTGAGAGCCAGATGGATGCTGATTCAAGTTGTCGAGCTCAGTTCCACAACATACGGTGTACAAAAAATGGTTAAGAAAGAGTGTTTACTTCCGTTCCCACTTGTTTTTTGGCCCCATTGTTTGTGAGCATTGTCAAAATCTGGTATGCTTGTCAGCCTTCTCGTTCTTTTTGATGTACCCTGAAGTGCCTTCTATACTTGGGTGTTTGTAAGCACTCCCCAGGTGTCGACCTTAGAAAATGAATGTTCTTGTTGTTAAATTCCTGAAAAAGAATTTGTCTGTGTAATTTACGCTTTAACACTTGCGCATTCTTTGAATTGTCGTACTGAGTGCCCGTGCTGTTCTTTTTTCCTCCAGCTTCAATATTTCAAGAATTATTTTACCGTCGAAGAGCTTCCCGTCGTTCGCATGGCGATGTGCTTTGTGGAAGAATGTAGCCAAAGGGATTTGCAAGCTTTGGTTGACGCAAGTAAGCCTTCTATACACCTACTGGCCCGCCGCGGTGGTCTAGTGGCTAAGGTACTCGGCTGCTGTCCCGCAGGTTGCGGGATCAAATCCCGGCTGTGGCAGCTGCATTTCTGATGGAGGCGGAAATGTTGTAGGCCCGTGTGCTTAGTGTTGGGTGCACGTTAAAGAACCCCAGGTGGTCGAAATATCTGAAGCCCTCCACTACGACGTCTCTCATAATCATATGGTGGTTTTGGGACGTTAAGCCCCACATATTGATCAATTATACAGCTACTGCTTGTTGTATATTGACTGCCGTGACCACGGATTTGACCAGATCAGGCGGGATGTTTTTGTAAATGATGAATTGTCAGGCGCTAGAACCAGGATTTAGTTATGAAACGTGCTGTAGCTGGGAGCCGTGGAATGATTCAAACCACATGGCTGATTCTGGTGCACCTTTAAAAAATACACCGGCGTTCTTGGACATCCGAATCACCGAAATATGGCCACCGTAGCCGGAACTTGAGCCCACGTCATCGATCAGAGCCGTGTACCTCTCCATGTGCTAAACTACCACAGCAGATTGCGCTGTTCTTTGGGAGGCTCAAGTAGAAAGCGCCATTTGTTCTACTGACACAATCGTGAAACTCTTTGCATTGCTAAGAAAGACTCATTATCTCCCTGAGACAATCAAGTTCACAGTAACAGGGAAAGTAATAGCTTTCAACCAAGTCGTAGGTTGTCGAACTACTGATGCAGTGTGTGGATAGAATAAATATGGAAGTCAAATTGCTCAGGTAATCATGCAAAAGCGTGCACCTGTGATGTAGCACATAGCTGGTTCAAAGCAACACCTTTGCAACACTCTTCAGAATACGTTCAAATAGTGATTCAGTCATGTATTCTCTACTGCGATATTTCCTTGGTAGTATATTGAAAGAGCACTTCATTCCTACTTAATCGAAGCTGACACCTTTTCTGCAGTTTTCTTTTTTATTAGTGGTAAATCAGGTTGGTCAACAATAGGACTCAATTTGGCTTTTTAGTATCGCAAAGTGCATGATTCATGAAATCGCCATCGAGGAGCTGATTCCGTCTGAATTTCGAAAACTCTATTTCTTCAACATTTCAGGTGGGGCTTAAAATAAAATCCATTAACGAAGCTTTCAGTAAAAAAGGTTGCTCTAAAAGGCACCTTTCACATCTGTTTGTGAAAAAAAAGCAACATAAAACCACACCGGAATTTAGTTTTTTAAAAGTGAAGGATTACTTTCGAGTTGGATACCCCTGACCAGGATGAATTTTTCAAGAAGCTTTCCTTCCTGAAGTACCTCTATGAACTTTTTCGAGGCTTTCTGCAGTGCACGGATGGCTGCAAGTTATTCTTATCATAATCTGTCTATTTCCTCCACCTTATAGAGTTTCCAGCACTCAAATGCGAACTGTTTTTTCACGAATAATTTCAACAAAAAACAATTAGCATAGTGTCCACTACCGTATATTACTGGGTACTGAACTCGTGGTCACAGGTTTGTCACCGAAAAAATCAGCCGCATACCGATGAGCAGTGCACCCAGTAACAGTCGTTTACACCTAAATTTGGGGGGCATGTTGGAGAATCCCTGAAGGACAAGAAAAGTTTTTTTAACACCTTCCCCTACAGCTTATCTCGTAATCAGGACCCGAATCGAGCAAGTAAAGCCGAAGAAATTCATCAATGGCGTTTATAACACTGCATAGTGGTGCACTTTGACACGACGTTTTTTTTTAGTTAATATGGTGCCAGAAGACAAAACGATCCAGAAGATTAGCGTTCTGCCTTACGAAGCATTTCTTTAGCGAGAAAAATACACCGGCGTTAAGATGATTCATTTACTGGTTTATTTTAGCATTACGTAGGGGGCTAGAAGCACAAGCTAAAATGTAAAGGGTACGGAACGAAAGAACATATGAGTGATCACAAAAAAAAAAACTTACAAAGACAACCGCACCGCATTCTTCCGTGGCGAACGGTACCCATAGCCAATAAGCTCATATGAATAAATGAGTATTCACAAAAATTTGACGCACACCGAAGCAGATATTTTTTTTTATTTTCATGTCGGCGCTAAGAACGTTCTGCACGCACTGAAGTCTGACAACACATGCAAAGTAGTCTACTTTGTTTTTAACATTGTCGTCACCTAGCAGCTGCAGGTCAATCATATCGCAGTGTACAATATCACGGCAAGTTCATGCAATTCAGTGGGTTTGCGGGACCTGTGTCATGAATGCAACTTAAATCGCACAACTTGTGGTCAGGCTCTCTAGATGACTGTTTACTGGTTGTTCTTAAGTGAACTACGTGCTACAGACAAGAAACTGACAGCGGTTTCTGGTATGTCCGAAATTAAAGAAGCTGTATGGAAAATATATGCAATTTATTAGCAAGCACTATGTCATTCTTCTAAAGGTTCTTGACTTCCGCACATTGATTTAGAGCAACATCGCAAAAATAGTTCAAATTGATGTCAGTACTCTTTTAATGAATGTGCGTGACAGAGAAGAGACAGATAATCAAGGAAGACATGGGAGGTTAACGAAAAGAGGGTGCACTTTGCCACCCTGCACTGATAGACAGCCTGAATACAAGTCAGCAGCTGACTCTTCAGGGGCCTAAGTTATAACGAAGGAATAAACATAATCACGTATTCGCGATTTCAATGCATACGCAGAATGAAGCTACTCTTCAAACAAATGTGTCCGTATGTAAGGTGACGTAATTTTCATGTTAATACAGGAGGTGCCTTAGGGAGTCATCATTATCATCAGCATCATCATCATCAGCCGGACTACGTCCACTGCAGGACAAAGGCGTCTCCCATGTTCCGCCAGTTAACCCGGTCCTGTGTTTGCTGCTGCCAGTTTATACCCTCAAACTTCTCAATCTCATCTGCCCACCTAACTTTCTGTCTCCCCCTAACCCGCTTGCCTTCTCGGGGAATCCAGTTAGTTACCCTTAACGACCAGCGGTTATCCTGTCTACGCGCTACATGCCCGGCCCATGTCCATTTCTTCTTCTTGATTTCAGCGATGATGTCCTTCACCCCCGTTTGTTCCCTAATCCATTGTGCTCTCTTCTTGTCTCTTAAGGTTACACCTACCATTTTTTTTCCATTGCTCGCTGCGTCGTCCTCAATTTAAGCTTAACCCTCTTTGTAAGTCTCCAGGTTTCTGCTCCGTAGCTAAGTACCGGCAAGATACAGCTGTTATATACCTTTCTCTTGAGGGATAGTGGCAATCTACCTGTCATAATTTGAGAGTGCTTGCCAAATGTGCTCCACCCCATTCTTATTCTTCGAGTTACTTGAATCTCGTGGTTCGGCTCCGCGGTTATTACCTGCCCTAAATAGACATAGTCTTTTACAACTTGAAGTGCACTATTACCTATCTGAAAGCGCTGCTCTTTTCCGAGGTTGTTATACATTATTTTCGTTTTCTGCAGATTGATTTTAAGACCCACCTTTCTGCTCTCCTTGTCTAACTCCGTAATCATGAGTGGCAATTCGTCCCCTGAGTTACTCAGCAATGCAATGTCATCGGCGAAGCGCAGGTTACTAAGGTACTCTCCATTAACTCTTATCCCTAACTGTTCCCATTCTAGTTTTCTGACAACCTCCTGTAAGCACGCGGTAAATGGCGTTAGGGAGATTGTGCCCCCCTGCCTTTCACCCTTCTTGATTGGTGTTCTGTTGCTTTCTTTATGAAGCACTATGGTAGCGGTTGATCCCCTGTAGACTTCTTCCAGGATGTTTATATATACTTCATCGACGCCCTGATTCCGCAGTGTCTGCATGACGGCTGATAATTCTACTGAATCAAACGCCTTCTCCTAATCTATGAAGGCTATGTATAGTGGTTGGTTATATTCTGAGCATTTCTCTATCACCTGATTGATAGTATGAATGTGGTCGATTGTTGAGTAGCCTGTTCGAAATCCTGATTGTTCCTTTGGTTGATTGAATTCTAATGTTTTCTGTACTCTGTTAGCAATTACCTTTGTAAATAGCTTGTATACTACAGAGAGCAAGCTGATCGGCCTGTAATTCTTCAAGTCCCTGTCGTCTCCTTTCTTATGTATTAAGATGATGTTAGCGTTCTTCCAAGACTCTGGTACCTTTCCCGTCAGGAGACACCTCGTAAACAGGGTGGCTAGTTTTTCTAACACAATCTGTCCCCCATCTTTCAGCAGATCTGATGTTACCTGATCCTCACCAGCAGCTTTGCTTCTTTGTATGCTCTCCAAAGCTTTTCTGACTTCTTCTATCATTACTGGTCTATCCTTAGGGAGTAGAGGGAAGCAAACCGGTATCGCAGTGAACAATGACTTACGAACAGTATCGGTTCCCGAACTCTCTGCCTTCTGGGCACGTGGGCTACGAAGACATGACACTCGACATTAGGGATTAGAGAATGTAACGCTTGAAGTGCGTAGTGCATTGAATCCTCGAGCTTCGACGTTGATAAGAAGTCAAACTCCGAACGCTGACACATGAAGGGTATCAAAGCACCGACATTATAAGTAAAATGGTGTTTGTTCTCAGACCCTCAACAATTGTGCACTATTGTAGTTTAACATTACGAGGAATACATAGACATGAACACTAAAACTTCGAAGTGTGCAGGTTAGTTGTGGCTAAGCGGCTGTCAAGCAATGGTGAGGTGATGGTCATTGCTGAATGACGGCACAATGCTTACGCCTACTCAGATAGGTCCTGTGCAGTCTCCACATATCTTTTCAACTTTTCGTTTCTTTACCTTTTTTTTGCAGTGAAGCCTCCATTGGTACGTCTTGAGGTCTCCAATTGCGTCACGGCCCAAGTAGAACCGTGGAGTAACGCTCAACTCGGAATTATGTAAGTTGAAGCTATATGGCTCCAATCACACGGTTGGAAGCCCAGGCTTCTGAACCAATCAAAATGATTTTTGCAGCTTTGAAATATCCGCATACTTTAACAAAAAAAGGGGCGGGGGCGCGTTGCTTATTTTGTTTACAGCGGGTTTAAACTATTCTAGTACATTTACACTTAGGGGCCAAGAAAGTAATAAACTGGTTTCGCAATAGCGAAATAGTACGTGTTAAGGATTTCATCTTGAGGCTCCAAAATCTTGTCGTAACGTCGTAAAGTTAGAAGGCACTAGGTAGTGATGTAGCGTCATTGTCCATAGTGGGATTGTTACGTAACTCCAATCAAGAAAAGGAAACACTGGAAAACAAAATTTAAAGACATTCTATTGTACCGTTTGACGTCTATACAAAAAAATGTGTCATGTCTTCCAGAAGTTTCGGCATTATAGTTGCTAACCAATATTAGGACCAGGCAGATTTCATCTATGTTCGAAAAGCAATGAATGTCACGTTGTGAAACGGAAATAAACAGCAGTGGAATAGCATGCTTTTTTACTAGTCTAAACAAGTCATGTTTCGAATGCTCATTTCCAGGTATAGGATTTCTTGTACTTGGTGCCATCTCTTGGCAACGGACGACGACCACTCGTAACTTAATAAAAAATAGGCCAAAAAAAATTGTTGCTAACTAAGTAAGCTAGTTGGCAAAAAATAACTTCCAGTACTTTATAGAAACTTTCATTGAAATTGGAATGTCTTGGCAAAATTGCACGATGACACTAAAACGTGTGCGGCTTCCCAGGAGATTTGAGCACCACTCATTAGTAACACAAGGGGCCGCCTTTTGAAGTACTAAACAGTCCAGAAAGCTAGGCGGTGTGCAGCTAGAGGATTCAGTTTGACGAGAATGTTCATGTGGGTTTATGCTGGATAGAACTATGTAGTCATTTATTGAAACTACATTTGTTCATCAGATATGTTTTATGGCATATTTCCCGTAAGTTAGGGCCAGAATGTGCTGTTACCGGTGATAGGTGACGCTACGTGTCTTTGTGCGGAAATCCTTGTTCTGAGTTGTCAAAAAGAGAGAAAAAAATTAACGCTATATGCTTGCATTGAATTCCTAACATTTTCCGTTTTTCATGTCTTGCAGGATGTTTTTGTGTGTACTTCTAGTCATCATTTCGGCCGCGACATTTACAGACCATATGATGAAGGTCAAGCCGAAATTCATAGGAAAACATGGTAAGTACAGCGCGTTTCACTTCACTTATTTCCTGATTTGTGCATGAATGTAGGTTTAGTTTTCTTTCCTTCATCGCTTTTTAGTTGTGCCGCTTTTCATGGCACCCTTTGACGTAATCGTAACATTTAAATGCCAAGAGAGCAATAAAAGTTTGCATTTTCTAATTAATATTTCACACTGCTTGAAAAGCAAGCACCCGGCAAAGATTGCAGGAAATAAACCGGCTGGATTTTTGTGCAGAAAGATGATAATCTTGGGAAAGAAGTAAAAGATTTTGTGGCTTAGTTTAGCACGTAAATTCTTGTTTCACTTCAGGGCGCACTTTAAAGCAACGCATGTTGACAAAATTGTCTTTTCTTTCATAATAAGATACAGTGCGAAGGATGAAAGGAGCCTGTCTGTCCACATGCAAAATAGTGGAATCTGAAATAATTCATATAACACGGAAAGAGCCACTGTAGTCAGCCATCTTATACAGGACATTTGGTTGTGTTAGTTGTCGCGGCCTGTAAATTAGCAACCGGAGGAGAAGCGAGACTCTCAGTGAACGGTGTATGTGCATCGTAATGTCTTACCTTTTTCTGCAAGCTAAACAGCACCTGTAGCCTAGCACTTGCCAAGGAAGAGGCTGATTTTTGGACCCCACTATTTGCGCTCTGGATGGGTAGGGTGGGTGCCACTTGATTGCAAATGTAAAATAGCACCGAAAAACTCAGAGCAGCCTACACAATATAACAGATAGTTTAATTTCTAGTTCTAGCTGCCGTTTGATTTCTTGCAACGCGCGCTGCATCGGTATGCCATCATGGCGATGTGTTCGCACGACAGGAGACCGTTAGACATACTGGTGCTCCATCTGGAACATCAGCAGTTTCATTTAAATGGTTGGTGCTCATAACAGCAGTGTAAGAGATAATCGAATGCGGTGTATATGACGTGAGGGAGCGGTAATTTTTTTTTGGTCACATGAGCATCCTCTTTGCCATGACGCCACTAAATATCGAAATCTTAACAACAACAACAACAACAAAAAAAAACAGAATCTTACGAAGGTGTGGAATTAAGTAGTTCCGCCTACTCTGAAGCCTAACATTTTATGTTATACAATACACGGCAGTTCTTTCAACAAAAAAAAAAACGCAAACGCAGATTCAAATGCGTATACCTTGATATCACTCCAACACCAGTTACCAAGGTGCTGATTCAGTCTCGGTCACACCATGGTGATCACAAATGGTAAATGTTCACAACAATTTTGCTGACATGAAATATTGATGAATATTTACATACTGCTGTTACTTTATTGTGTACCAGTATAGGCTAGTGTGGATGGGTACCTGACGTAACTTTTTTGCATACCTCTTTTTCAGGTGCACTTAGTGAGCTCATCAAGGGCTTTTCTGCCTCGTCCAATACACGCATGTTGCTCCGCGTGGCCGACAAGTCAAACACTGACATCTACTCCCTACAGTTCCTGCATGGCATGCGATTCTTCTGCCTCGTCCACATTGTGTTCGGTCACTGTGGTCAAACAATGTCAGACAATTGGTGTGAGTAGATCTTGAGGACATGCATGCCGTTGATTGTACGTTTTAGTAGTTATCGTTTGTTGGGGGACATGCACGTCGTTCTTTGTACATTTAGGTAGTTATCATTTGTTTACCAATTTTAGTTTAAGATTCGTGCATGTGATGCGAATTAGATGCACGAATTAGTCGTAAAATAAGATGTGGACATATGTAAGTCCCAAAAAAACGTACTTGTTAAGGAATGAAACAGCTTTTAGGTCCACAATTGGCGCGTGTTAACTCATTGTCAAATAACCTCAGGTATGCAAAATCTTCAGAGACTTCCGCTCCGACGTCCTTGACGTCATTTCCCAGTTTTAGTTCTAAAATATTAAAAATTATAAACTTCTGAAGGAAAAAATATTAGGTAATATACGTAAGTAATTAGTCAGGAAAAACTATAAGGTCATTTTTTGAAGTGGAGCTTACAGCGATAAATAAGTAAAAACAGTTATGCGTATAATATGCTTTAAAAATAGTAGTTGGATTACCAATCAAAGGAGGAAATCAAACTTCTCGCTTTTGTAATGGCAAACCGATTAGCTGCACCATTACCGGGACACTGAAATGTCGCTAGATCATAATGTACATATTGATACGTGATTAACTTTCTGCAGCTATTTTTCCTGCTAAGGTGCTTAGCTGGAATTAAAACAGCTGCATAGTAACGGCTAACTAATATTTAGATCTATGGAGGCACCAACCACTTCCATTATTGTTTTTTTGGCACTTTCCGCCTCCTCTGTGGCTCCAAGTGAATTCGCCCCTTCGTACTTTCGGAATGTGTATATAGATCTGTGCAAATTTCGTACTTCATTTGAATGTCAATGTATAACGTATGTGTACTACTAGAGAATGGCAATTACAGGTTTAAAGTTTTATAAGCATGTAATTATTGCAGCAATAAATGTAATGAACCTGCTGAACCTAATCAAACTAGGCAGTTTTCAACGATGAGATATTATACTCGCGCGATAACATCAAAACACAAACAACGCTCAGCAGTAGCTTAACTTGGTGTTTAAGTGTACTGCTTTCTCATCGCCTAATATTGCCTCGCATCGCGGGAATCGAAATGTCGATTAAATTCAAATTCATGCGACACACCGAGCAAAAGTTCGATACAACAATGACAAGTGCTTCCATTCAATAAGATCTGGTGTGTTTCCCATGCGTAGTGCGTGCGCAACTACAGAGCGGGCATAGATAGGAAGTTTTTTGTGCGCGCTTCTAGAGCGATTTCCTTGTGGGAGCGCACATGCAGACCACGCTTTTTGTGCAAGCGTTGCATGCTGGCAGCAAAACAAACTCAAGTCAGCGCACGTTCCGCAGAAATGTGCGCTCAGGTGGCTCGTTTGTACGTTTTCTCTCGTTGCACGCGACGTGTTTTTTATGAGGGGCCAATTTTCTTTACACGTGTGTATTTTATTGAAGGTTTCTGCCAGTGATACTGCCCAAGGGCGGAGCAGATAACAATTACGGAGTACATGTGGAAGTGTTATTCGCGCTGTGGGCGTAATGGCATAAGCCCCGCCCTCCAGAACATGCCTCGCCTTATCCCCCTTCCTTCACTCGACGACGAAGATATGATGTGGCTGAGTTCTCTCCATTAGGGGAAAATAACAAGCTCTAGAAAGACGTGGGGCACAAAAATACTTTCCACATACGCACACGCACTGAATGCAGCCATATACCACAGAATACGCCTCGTAGTTTCATGTCGCAAACTTCTACCGCTGTGTTACAGATGAAGGTGTTCATGCAGAAAGACTTCCTTTTCCAGATTTTAGCTGCATGACGGGATCAAGAAGGAGTGAGGTAACAATGACCGCAGAAAGAGAAATACAGTTTCAGCTATGACTGTCTGCAGGACTTTGTCTTAGGGCTGCAAAACCGTGCTGAATTGCGGCGCGGGGAGGGGGGGGGGGGTCCTAATGTACCCTGGTCGCACTTAGATGGAGGCGAAGTGGTAGAGTCTCGTGTGTTCCGCGAATTAAGTGCACGTGAAGGAACACCACGTTACCGAAATTGCCGGAGCACTCCACTAGGCATCTCTCACAATCATATTGCTACGTAACAGTATATTTTGGTTTTGGAACGTGGAGCCCCAGATATCAGTTATTTTGCGATAGAGGACGCTATTGTAAGTTTCTGTGTATGAGTTGTTTGCGATAAATATGTTATTGATTTGTTCGTATTCAGAGTCATTATAACGAGTCGCTAGTGCATGCTGTCAGTACTGCTGTCGATATAAAGTCTACACTGCTTACAGCGACAAAATAAAACTTTGTTGTCATTTTTATTCTAGCACGTTACCTAAATTTGCTCATCGCATCTGACCAATGGACTTACATGGTCTTAAGTGCTGGATTCAGCAGCGTCGGAACCTTTTTCTTTCTCAGGTAAGTGATACGGAACATTCAACACTGCAAAATATTGCTGCAAGAAATATCAAGGGACGTCGCTTCTCTCACGTGACTACTTATGGCAGTTGGCATTACTTCTTGGTTACCCGGCGCAGGGAGGTGCACAGTCCCAGAGGAGGTGTCTCTGGGTGGCTCGCGCCTTCTTGCAGTGTTGGCATTCATCAGTGGTGTAAAGCTCCGGGCAAACGTGCTTTGCCTAGACGGGGGTCCATATGGCTTGTACTTGCAGCTGCCGTAGTGTGGCTGCTTCTCTGCGTTGTAGGTCACTGCCATAAGCAGAGAAATCATCAGCCGAGAGCCAGGCAACCAAAGAGACATGGTCCAGCACGTGCTTAGCGTCCTGGAACGCCAGCGGCCGAAAGCAGCGCCCCCACGGGTTTGACGCGAGTAGGTTGCTGCTCCGGGGCGTCCGAGCACGCTAGTGTCTCGCTTTGATCCCCTACCCCTTCCCCCTTTATGCCGGATCGTCAATAAAGTTGTTTCACTCACTCACGCACTCTCACGTGACTATATTACAGTTGTAGCCGGAACAATGGGAAACTGAATGGCCCACTTCTCACAAAATGCACATGTGAGGCTACTGTGCGCGGGTCCCCGTCTGAGTCAGTGCACCCGTCGACAGAGGATTGTGGCCGCCAACGACGGCTATTTTGTGTACCGAAAGACTAGTGCGGTGGCTTAAGACAGACAGCAGACGAGAGAGGGGCGTGCGGACAACGCAACGTTGTAGGTCAGGACACACGGTAGCCGGCAGCCTGCCTTTGTGGTCGAACCCACGCCTAGAGGGTGTGCAACTACGGCAGCGGTGTCTAACCCGAAGATCCAGCCACAACCAGTAACCTAAGACAGTGAAGCCGCAGCCCGGAGTCCAACAGCTCGGGCCTTAGACGGCGTACCAGCCGCAGATAAGCGCCGCAATCAATGGCTCTCCTCTTTTGCCGGGGCTTTCATAATCGTATTCCATTCAGTGTTGATTGTTCGCAAGTCGCGTTTTGTGCCTGCCTCTTAGCGTTGAGTTTTAGGGGTGAAGCTCCCAACGGCGTGGGTCTGTCCATCCCAAGTATGCATTTATATGTATGTATGTATGTATGTATGTATGTATGTATGTATGTATGTATGTATGTATGTATGTATGTATGTATGTATGTATGTATGTATGTATGTATGTATGTATGTATGTATGTATGTATGTATGTATGTATGTATGTACGTACGTATGTATGTATGAGACCACCTATAGTTCCACCTTTGCTAGCGGCCCACTACTTCGTCCTTGCAAACATCCCACTACGCCTCATCACTAATCCACCACTTTACCGACCATGAAGCAAATACTCTTGTGATGTAGTTAATATGAAATGCAAGATGGTCGTGTACTTGTATCCGGGTGCGCTTTGAAGAACCATAGATTGTCCCACAGTGTCCATTCCTTCTTTGTACGTGACCACCTATATTTCCAAGTTTGCAAACTCTCCCCTACTTCGTCCGTGCAAACATCCCACGATGCCCCATCAGAAATTCAATTCTCCGACCATAAAGCCCTTGTAATGAAGGGGGAACGGGAGCGACGTATAACTACCACTTACGAATTGTAGAAATTCTCTCGTATATATATATATATATATAGTATTTGTATATATAACCCTCCAGGGCTTCGCCCCGCCTCATCATTCACTCCGTGGATATGTTGCGATTTTTTTGTGTATAACGACGATTATATTTTTTCAATGAGTGTGCTATCTTGGGGTATTTTGGGGGAGAGATTGTGGCCACATGCTCTGTCCTGGGTGTATCACCTGAAGAAATGTGTTTCAGTGGTGCTGCCATTGGTGGAAGCATTCTGAGAAGGCCTCGTTCTGTAGCTCAACTCTCGTTGCAGTCACAATGCCTTCCCTTTTCTAAAATCTTTCTCCTTTTAATGTCCTCTTGAGTTTGGGAAACAGCCAGAAGTCGCAAGGGGTCATATCAGGGGAGGAAAGGGCCTGTTGAACTACGGAAGTCTGACTTTTAGCCAAAAAAGTCTTGAACAAATGGGAGGAATGTGTAGGAGCAACGGTGTGATGGACGCGCCAGTTTCCTGTTGCCCACAACTCAAGTCTGTGGCGCCGCACAGCATAACGTAAGCGACGAAGGGCATCCATGTAGTACTCTTTGGTGATTGTTTGACCCTGTGGTGCAAATTCTCGTGGTGTGCCACATTACGGGAGTCAAAGAAAGCCCTCAGCATCACTTTGACGTTGCTGCGCACTTGTCGAGCCTTCTTTGGTATTGGGGACGATGAATGCTTCCACTGTGACGACTGAGATTCGGTTTCCGAGTTGTACCCGTACCCTCGAAACTCGTCATCAGTGATAAGGGTGTTCATGAAGTTAGGGTCACTGCTTGTGAAATCCAGCATGTCCTGTGAGACTTAAACATGAAGTTGATTTTGGTCCAGCGTGAGCAGTTTCGGCACGAATGTCACTGCAACTCTCTCATGACCAAATATTCGGTCATAATTGATTGTGCCGAGAAAGTGCTGATGCCCACCTCCTTCGCGAATTTCCAGATAGTCACACGAGGGTCCCGGATGACCAAAGCATTCACTTTGCGAATGACCTGGTCATTTCAGCATGTTAATGGTGGACTGCAGCATGGCTCACTCTCCACGGATGTGCGGCCGTCTTTAAACCGGTTGTACCACTCGACCTGCATGCGGCTCAAAGCGTCGTCATCGAAAGCTGTCTTGATCTTCCGAATGGTTTCCACTTGGCTGTTGCTCAGTTTCTGGGAAAAGTTCGCCCAGTAGCGCTGCCTCAGTCACTCTGTCATTTTTCTCGCAATAAAAAACCAACGAGAGCACTGCGCATTACCTTACTCAAATGCTGTGTCCCAGCGACTGACGCTATTGGCAGGCGGGAAAAATTGACGCACGCGAACGAATGTTCAAGGTCGGCTGATGCAAGTGCGCTTGCTTCGAACTGATCAGGTGCAGGCAAAAAATAATGTTACATGGTTTTTCAACAGACCTTGTATATCTGGATTAGCCTCGCGTGTTTTTATTATTGTCACAGTGAAGTGTGTGTGTGCACTTGTTTTTTATACTCGTTGTCAGCCGACTTTTGCCCCTGGTCCGTGTTCGATCAGGCGTGTATCTATCGCCGGTCAGCGGTCGAACCTCTTTAGCATGTGGGGTGAACTTGTTGTTGGCTCAAGCCCTCCAAACACAGAGTGCGGATACCTTAGACCAAATGCCCAGTAATCCCCGACATCACTGTACCGGGGAAAGTGGCGAAACTCTTAATACATAAAATATAAATTTTGGGCATGATGTTTTTGCAGATCGTCTGTGCATCTGGGTGAACCGGTTGTCACCCTTACGAGCGCATTTCGTTTCATGTAACATACCCGCTACAGTCGTCTAGTGGTTATGGTATTTGGCTGCTAATTCATACGTCACGTGGGTGCATCTCGGCGGTGTCGGCCACATTTACATAAATGCGACAGCTAGGCTAGAGGCCCGTGTACATAAATTTAGGTTCACGTTAATTGGGTTCGTGTAAGTTTTCAGAGGCATCCACTGCGGCGTGTTTCTCATTAATATCGTTATAAAACTCAAAACCTAGAAATCACGTTAGAATACTTTGTGTAATTAGGTCGCAACTGTGGAATGCTCGTAAGTATAAATATCAATTTTGGTCACAACCTAACTGGCTATACTTTGCATATGTTGAGAATGGTAGTGACTTTTGTTTTTATTATTTTTAGTCCGTATAGCTCTCAATGATCATTCTTTATTTCTGTGATTGTATTTCAGCGGCTTTTTTCTGTCCCTCACGGTCAGCAGGCAAAAGAGGAGTGGCCCGCTTGTCTTTATCATCGGCGTGATCCGACGGCTTATCAGGTGAGCAGTATATTAGCGCGTCCTTTCGCATGCGATTCTTGTAACACAGGATGACCCTTGAGTGGACATCATCGTCAATACGACGCCCGAGCTTGGGTTAGGTTAGGGAAGAGACTGGGTATGAGACTTTGCTACTCGTAAAACTGGGATGTGTTAAGGCCGTCTTATTTGAAATTAAGAAGAATAGATGGGCACGAGCAGGTTATGCACTGAGACTGCAAGATGAACACTTGTTACTCGAAGTCATAGACTTAATTTAAAGAGAAGGCAAGTTCGCGTGAGGGGCAAGCAGACATCTAACCTACTTCCACGACGTGAAATATCTCACACAGCGAATTCATGGTTGTCGCACGATTGTTTGTGTTTTTTTCAATTCTTTGTAAGATTTTGATGGTTATCTTTATTATAATGTGTCTGACCAGTGATGTGGGGTTAAGTATGGCTGAGCTGGTTTGTTTTGGTGTGTTTCTTTGCGTTATTTTGCAATTTCGTGCCATGTGATGTAACTCTTTGTCGTTAAGTCAGTTTAGTTGTTTTACTGTGACTCTTTATGCTTCTCTTTCCCACCAGTTCTGGCTAGAAGCTTCGCGCTGCTGCCATTTCGCTTGCAATTACTGTACTCGAAACGCGGAACGTGTAAGGTGAAGGCGTTGCAGCGTTTAGACGAGGTCCCACAACTAATCGTGCCGGTGGTGTTCATGAAGCGAAAGGACACGCACAGTCGAAAGGAGAAACTCCTGGGAGGGGGATTAAAAAAAAACACTCCTAATGATATATAAGCGTCCTACAGAAGCTTAAAGAAGCCACACACAGTAACTTTAACACATGTTAGAGAAGAGCGACATCGGTGAGGCATAGAACTGGCCCCTGCGTCACATTGGTCGACATGCTGCAGTGCAGCTGGGCTCAGACGAGCTCCGCCGTTAAATAAAGGTTTGGTGGCACAATGCCCTTAGGAATTTTGTGAGAACGACGTGGCCACAGGATTTGGCTATTTTTAGAGACGATTCTTTATTGGGGACCTTTGTCGCAAAAATTTTGGTCTGTTTGTCTGTTTGTCCACCCTTATTGGTTCCGGGTACTCTAAACGGCACCAGCAGATACCCCAAACTACCGACCCCATCCGCAGCGCCCACCAATGTTGCTCAAGCTTTAGCGCTCATACTTGTGCGATTGTCAATTAAAAAGCAATAATCGCGCATATATGAGGCACCATAACAAGACGTATATATTCTGCATGTGCGTATTTTACTAGAAAAGACACACATAAGTTTATCTAAGAACCGTAGCGTTTATAACGCGGCACTGACCATGCACGCTTGCACGAAAAGGGAAGTGTTTCCAACGTTTTGCTAAGACGACACGGGGGTGGCACCTACCCATCGCCTTGCGTTCTGCATCTTATCACCTCAAAGACCGGTGCGCACGCCCGTCTGAAAGCCGCGCGTTTCGTTTTCCAAGATAACTGCCAGAAAGTGCTCATGTCTCAAGGTGTCACGTGACTTGGTGCGCTCGTTAGCTTCCGATGCACGCTCGAGGCGCTCTAATGTAGCGCCTACAGAATACCATTCAGCAATTTTATTGCGCAGAACTTCAAATACACGTGTTGTTCTATCGCGCCAGACACAAAACTCTCGTCTTTCATCGACATTTGCAGATTAACATGCAGATCCGGGGCCAAATTTTTAATTGGGCGTTTTTAAATTGTAGAAGCACTGGAGAGGCTCTTGTTGTTCAGCGGGCGTAATAGGGTGGTTGATGCAGCTACTGCTGCTGCTACTGATGATGATGATAATGACGATGACGGTAGAAGACGGTCACCATCAAGCACTGACCAAGCCCAACAACAGAAGAATATAGGGCTAATTATAAAGAAGTGTTTTTGAAGAGTGGTAGCGTTACGATGCAAAATTTAACTACAAAACGCCAAACCGCACTTAGCAATAAAAATTTGAGCAGAAAAAAATGTTTGTCCATCTCAAAATACCCTGGGGGTCGTGACATCATTCACTTCACTGGAAACTTATATTCGCATGGCAGATTACGCTTTAAACAGTGGTGTGTAGCTGCCAGCTTTTGGTTCAATATCCCTATCAAACGTGAGAACTGCTCTACCGCTCCGGATAACTACAACTGACATTCTGACATTCTGTTTTCGATGTATGCAGGATTGCCTTCCCGCTGTTCTTCGTAATCATGTGCTTATACTTGATGCCGCGCTTCGTCTTTGGACCGGACACCAAGTCCTTCTTTGACAAGCTATACGAAGATGTTGCCCATCACTGGTGGCACTTGCTCCTCATGATCAGGAATTTCACCGAGATCACAATTTGGGTGAGACCAGTTATGAGTATACTTTTATGACATCGTACCTAGAAGTGCAGTATAGCAGCGCATCACGTGTTTAGTCCCTACGCTGAGTACTGTTTTAATGTGATGACAATTAGATGGGAATTAGATGGATAGCAATTTGATCACCGCCGCCATCGCCATGAGCGTTGGCGTCGATGTCATGGACCGTATATGTATACGTATCTATATGTATGAAAAAAGACTGCGGTGCGTGGAATCGAACGTGGGGCCTCCGCGTCGTGAATGAGAGGCGCTAAGCACTGAACCACCGAGGAGCGGTCAACCTTTAGTGTTCTAACGGCAAGCTGTTTATGCATATTACTTACCGTTGTTGGCGGGCATCTCGGCGAGAGGGAACTCGTGTTTTCAGCATGATCAGCAAGATGGCGCAATGAGCGCGGGGCTGCTCTCCTCTCTCACGTGCACTTTGGTTCACGGATAGGGGGACCACACTGTCTCCCACGCGCCTTTATCTCCCGGTGGAGAGGATCATACGTCTTGGCTGGCGTTAGCTTTGCACTGGAAGAATTGTGTTGTAGTTTCGAGGTGCACAATGGTCACTGCAATCGTTGCACAGCCTTCGTTTGCGAAAAGGGCGCGCTTTTCAGACACAGTAAAGTAACAACTGAGCCGCTTATTTGAGTTCATGTGTACCTGTGAGTACGTTTCGTGCGTCAATTGTGTGTGAAAAATGCGGAGCACGTTTGGATCTGCTTGCCATTCTGCGTGTGACCTTCCAATGTGTTGCTATCGCGTTCATAGCTTCGCTTTTGCGGCAATGTTGTGACTTTCTATGAACAATCGCCCTGTTTAGGTGAAGCCACACTTATTAATAAATGTGAAGTGTGGACAATCTGCCGGGATGTTTCTCTAAAATTCCATACTTCCGGTGAAACAAAACAATTGCGCCCTCAGTCAACACTACGACTTAAATAGAAAAGCAAAAACAGACAAAAACAAATGAAGATAACACATTGTATTTACTCCATTCGTAATAGTTAGCATCATACAATAATATATTGAACTATGCTTTTTTAAGTGCATCTGAACCTAAGCATTCGTTTCTTACTTGCACGTTGCTGTGATTAAAATGCGGTTACCGGGGCCAGTATTCGTACCCGCGTCTGTCATACCCACAGCGCAGCAACATACATTGAGCACGCACACCCTTTTTGCAAATTTTTCATCGCTAATTACCAGGGAGTTTCATAAGAGACTTCGCACAGGATCAACTATACCCGGACGTACCATTTCTTATAGTTGAGATTTTAATGTAGCATGCAAACACTGAGAAACGTGCTGCAGTGATTCTCAGCCAGCAATCACGCCTTTCAGATTGTACACAAGCGTACTGCATAAAAACAGACGCGGATGTTTCCTAACTTTAGCTATGGTGACGGTGGTTGTGCTCGTCTGACTTCAAATGCGATTTCGGTGTTGGCTATCACCCCTCAGCAGCAATGCAGTGAATATTACATGTGTACCAGTATCACCAACTCATAAGAGAGAGAGAGAGAGCAACTCTTTCTTAGAAAACAGATTTTTGCCGGCGTCCATATATTGCAGGAATGCTACTATGTATAGGGATGGGGAAGAGGAGCTAAAGACTTCCGAAGAGAGGACTGGAAACTATAAAAAAATTGTGGCCAAGTCAAACTGATAAAACTAATAATAATTAGGGTATCAGATAAATAAAGGCTTGCCTACGTGAGAAATTCTATCATTAGAGCATTACGGAGGGGTAATTGATGGATGACCGTACGACCCGACTTTGTTTCGAAGGTCCACGCACAAATGTTGCACAACGTTAACTATTTGCGACTGATCACGCCCGTTTCTCGTTCAAACAACTGTCTTTCGTCGCGGTACGTGGGTCATTTAGAGTAGTATGGGCTCTACTGTCTCTATGCTGCCACAGGTATCACAACATGGGCTTGTGGTACGCCCTATTCAGTACATGAAACTTTTCGTGTGTGCCCCGTTCAGCCAAAGACGATGATATAGTGTTTCAGAGTGGCGAGGGAACGCATAAGAGATATCCGCGCTAACTTTTGGGCCAATAAATTATAGAAAGTTTCTTTGTGAAGGGGCGACTTCCAAAAATGGTCTTTTGCTTGGTAGGCATATCTTTTCGCGATGATTCAAGTATCGGCTTTGCAAAAGATATTCTTCTGAAATATCAAAATTTTTGTCCATTTTAGCAGCCTAATCTAGTTTTTTGTCTTCCGAAATACCAACATGGCCAAACGTTGTTCGTCACCGCAGCAATTAATAAACTAACGAACCTCACTAATGATATGCGCAGCACCACACCATAGCGTACAAGTCGTTGACCTATAAAAACGTTTAGCCTGAAAACACAACATAAAGAAATGTCTCCTTAAGCTAGGCTGATCAATATTACTGCTTCATTGCAACACTATAGTATTTTTGCTAATAGCATACGGGGAGTGTTATTAGCAAAAATACAGAGCGTATATTTCTCTACGATTACAGGACGTTCTGCCCCATCTGTGGTACCTGTCCACGGATTTCCAGCTTTTCACTGTATCTCTTGTGGTACTTTTGGCTTTCAAAAGGTGGGTGATACACATCTACAGAACCATCTGTTTGCCGCAGTAAGAGGCAGACGCGAGCGGACAAGTGCAGCTATTCATTGATGCACTAAGCGCTTACATTTCCGGCACTTCAAGCTACACAAGTAGTTCAGTTGTCATGAAGCGAACATTCTGTAGATCAGAAGCGTTATAAAATACACTACAAATTGTATAGGCGTTCCATGGAAATCACTGAAATTAACATGTATACGAACCATCGTCAGTATCACCTTCTGCAATGTATATGTACCATGATACGGTCCTCACGAGAAAACAGAACGTGGCCACAAAACTCCGCGGGCTGTCGCGGTGTTTTACGAAACAATCCTATTGCAAAAGGCGTTCCTTCGCAACACATGGCTGATCAAAGGAGAATAGTGTAAATACCTTTTTGTGCTTACTTTCAACTGACCGGTGGGGCTTGTCACTCAACTCCGTTGAGTTGTGCCATGATGTATTCCTTTCTGTAAGATAAGCCATAACTTTCGTTTCAAAAGGTGTACTGGAGAAATTATTCAAGACGCAATTTGGGCTCCACAGCATTTTTACCTAGAGTTTTTACGTAAGTACATACGTTTTTTCAGGAAAAAAAAACAATGAGCGTAAAGTGTTCCGTAACCGTTAACTTACCATTTTTTTCAGAATTAGCGTGTGCCACAATCGACTATATTCAGTCAACATGTCAAATTCTTTCCGTAAAAGATGGATGCACAGCCTTAAGAAGGCGCATAAAGAGTGGTGATTTGTCTGGGCAGAACGAGGTATTCAAAAGAAATAGAAAAATCAAAACACGCCTTCTTTTGTTTTAGTTCGATATAAAAAGATGAATTACGGCAAAAGCGTTGCTAGCACGTGTACAGCACTGTAATTGATTTGGAACAGATAATGAAAGCAAAGGTTGCCAAGAACAGAACTGGTGTTTACAACGCTAGTGAAAGACTTACTCAATTGCTTTTTGCTATTTGATAATGGCCTTTTGGCGTTTTATCGCGCTAGCCTTGCCTTTATACCGGAGAGCACCTAAACGAGGCTGGTTGCTACATGATTAAAATGGGATCAAACAGCGCTGAACAACAGACTTAAAAAGAATGACTGACCAGGGTGCGGAACTAACAACCACTTGTTTATCACCTGAAAATTACTCACACACACACACACACACACAGGTATATATATATATATAAATATATATATATATATATATATATATATATATATATATATATATATATATATATATATATATATATATATAATAAGGGAAAGAAGTGTATACCTAAGGGCTCGTTTTTCCGTGTTTTAACACAATATTAATGAGATCTAACAGACAGTAATGCCAAGGAATGTACAGGGGAAGTTATTAGAACCAATGGAATGTAAATAACAAGAAAGAAAAGTGGATGAAAAAATAACCAGCTATGGGCAGGAATCGAACCTACGACCTTCGAATAACGCGTTCGATGCTCTAACCACTGAGCTACCACAGCGGCCTTCCCTCCATCCACTTTTTTGGGTTTATATGTGAATTTAGAAGTAGGAGTGACAGTCAGCGCTATCTATAAGCCAAACGACGAGTGTGAAAACACTCTTATGCGCATGTTTGGCGTCACGTAGCACGTGAACTTTTTATGAGCGGGCAGCTGATTAATTGTCCCTCTTATACAACCTAAACACATCAAGTCTGCCATTACGAGACCCTCGTTCAATGAAATAAGGAAAGAAGTGTATACCTAAGGGCTCGTTTTTCCGTGTTTTAACACAACATTATTGAGATCTAACAGACAGTAATGCCAAGGAATGTACAGGGGAAGTTATTAGAACCAATGGAATGTAAATAAGAAGAAAAAAAAGTGGATGAAAAAATAACCAGCCGTGGGCAGGTTATTTTTTCATCCACTTTTTTTTCTTCCTATTTACATTCCATTGGTTCTAATAACTTCCCCTGTACATTCCTTGGCATTACTGTCTGTTAGATCTTATATATATATATATATATATATATATATATATATATATATATATATATACAGGAAACAAGTGTATACTTAAGGGCTCGTTTTTTGTGTTTTACACAATATTAATGAGATCTAACAGACAATAATGCCAAGGAAGGTATAGGGGAAGTTATTAGGCCAATTGTAATGTAAATGAGAAGAAAGAAAAGTGGGTGAAAAGATAACTTGCCGTGGGCAGGATCCGATATATATATATATATATATATATATATATATATATATATATATATATATATATATATATATAGCGAAAATTAGTTTTTCGTGCAACACCAACCAAACCACCAGACACAGACAAGATGTCACCACGTTACGTGCTACCAGAACAGGCTGCAGCCTTTTTAACAAATAACAGATTTCACAGTTCCGCAGCAAAATCGAAGGTACACTGACGCAAGCAAATACGAGAGCTTAAGGGAGCTGCGCTCCCTTAATCTCTCGTATTTCTTCCTCTCTGTCCATATTTGTAGCTATCCATGTTTTTGCAACACTTTAAGAAACAAACGAAAGAGAAAGTGCACTGGTGGTGGTGGTGGTAGTTGTTAGATGAGGAGAAAGGCACCTAATTTATGCAGCCCGGTCGGGAGCACGGCACAGTAACTACTGTAACAGCGTTGTGCGCCTTAAGTATGTCTAGAACGAAAGGAGGTTAGCGATTTCAAGGACGTTTCAAACACTATCAGACAACCCCCGCGGCAAATCTCCCGTGATGGCAGTGACAGTTAATGAATTGTGATGTGTCCTTCGTGGAAGTTACAAAACGCGCTGTTCTTGCAAATATTCATGCGTACTATCAACAGCTGAAATTCGCGGGATGTTGAGTCCACAACAAATGCGAATTTCTGCTGTATCAGTGCCTAATGCTTGTAATAAAGCTGGTTACTGCATAGATAGTAATGCCTAGTGTGGAATATTTTGTTGGAGGTTACGATCCCCGACATAGAAAGCAAGAATTTAGCTATATTGAACATTTCGCGTCCGGCAAACTTTCGCTGTTGATAGTTAAACTTCGTTGAACTGCAGAACAAGTACACCTGTCCTCTATTATTCACAGATGCATCTAAATTTTACAGTTTTGTGTCATGCGCAGCTGTCAGTGCATCTTCTTTACATGTCGGCGTTCTCCACTCTTGTGCAATATTTACGTCCGTAAAACACAAAAAACTATTGCAACAAAACCAAATAATATACACTGATTCCCTGAGTGTAGTAAAAGGTTTAAGAACAATGAAAAACACACAAATCCTATTTTTTTCACTAGTTCCAATCCTGTGCTCAATTTACATGCTCAGAGAGCATATCGTAGTGTGCTGGGTGCCCGGGCAGCCTGATATTTATAGAAACGTGTTTGCGGACCGGCTAGTTGCATTTGCCCACGGCAGCACTGTCATTACAGCCATAAGCTGTCGCTGTACTTGACCTGAAACCTCTTCTTGAACGGAAGCTCAGGGACAGATAGCAGCGTCTACGGAACATACAAACACAGAACTAACTACTTCTCATAAAGCCACATTTCGGTAATTGGCTGACAGTATCGAGGTCATTCCCCCCAGAAGCAACACTTACCAGGATTATGGTACAGACGTAGAACACACTTATTTCTTTTGTCTCTTTGTCATCCACCTTTGTGTGATAAGTGTGGTGAACCACTCACTGTCATTCTCATTCTCATTTAGAGCAGTGAATGCGACTCTATTAAGAGAAAGCATTATTCATTAGCTTACCGAGAACAAATTCCACTGCATCCTCGAAAGTTCTCATGCAAAAATGCAATGTTTAAACTTGAGTCATTCTTTGCGTTTCCGTACATTCGTGCGTTTAATATTTGACTGTGTTAGCCACCCCAGTTTGAGCGAAGGACGAGAATGTGTTTATCTGTTTGCTGCTCTGTGTCCGTCCTTGTTTCTACTGAGTTATCAAAACGAATCTGCAGAAACTCTGTGAAATAACTGTTCTACATACTAAAATTCAGTTAATATTTCTTCGTAAACGTTTTTTTTATATTCTTTTTGTTCAGTCGGAAAATGCTGGCCGTGGGAGCATTCCTTCTACTTTCTCTGTTCGGCTGCGCCGTTGGAGCTTGGGCAGTCGCTGGTTCTGACTTGCTGCCCTTTATGATCTTCCCAGGACCCATTTTACAGTAAGTGAATAATAATAATAATAATAATAATAATAATAATAATAATAATAATAATAATAATAATAATAATAATAATAATAATAATAATAATAATAATAATAATAATAATAATAATAATAATAATAATAATAATAATAATAATAATAATAATAATATATCCCAGGTTTGACGTCCCAAAATCACGCCCGCCGCGCAACAATATCATGCAATAAGGCGTGGGGCTCCTGACATTTCGGCAATCTGGTGTAGTTTATTGAGCTCCGGCATGACGCAGTACGTTACCCTATACCACATAGTCTCCAAGGAAATGCGACCGCCATGGCCGGGATTAGGAACTTTGAGGGTGTAAAGTGGCAGCAGCGAGCATAGGAGATGCCCTTGTCCTGATGGGAGAGGCCCTTGTCCTCATCGGAGAGGCATCATGGGAGAGGCCATTGTCCTGCATTGGGCGCAGTCAGGCTGATGATGATACCAGAGCAAGCAAGCAGGCCAATACGAGAAGCAGGCGGAACTGCTTCTTTCTGTGTTGCGCTGAAGTGCTGTCAGTTAGGCCGAAGTAAATCTCTCTGCGCTTCAGCGCTCATGCCCTCGAGTAGGCCGCGTACGTTGTCAATATACTGTCAATGCCACTTGTGTTCGAAAATGGAAGACACTTAAAGATTTTAGGCGAGTAGAAACAATGCCTAATTTGACTCCTTATAGAACATTGCCCATTCCCGCCCGTTCCAGCGTCGGCGGTAACGTACCCTTGGTATCAGCCAGAGCAGAATAAAAACAGAACCGGATACTTTCTGTACAATGGTCTGCTCATTGTTTAACTGTCGCATACAGAAGTCAATTTTGCTCAAATTATGGTTGATTTTTTTTTCTCACTCTAACGCAGGGTTATGTCCAAAACTGTCAATGAATACTACATGAGGCCGTACTACCATGCTGTGTGCTACTTCGGTGGCTGCATAGCACACCTTCTGATAGACGACTTCAGGCAGCGCAAGATCAGCAAGGTACTTGAAGAAACATCTTCGGGGGCTGATTGTCAATAATTACAGCATTATCCAATCATACGCAAACACATCACGTGTAGGAACGTATGGCAAAAAAATAACAAAGGGTCGAATGCATCATGTCAATACACTGGATGTTGTCGCAGTTGTCTGAAACTGTAAAAGTAAGTAAAGCTGTGAGGGCTGGGCTCACTGCTATTGCTCATTTTTAGAAAAAAAAGTAGGTAATGCGTTATACAAGAAGTAATTAGGCTCACTGCTAGTGCTCTTTCTTAGAAAGTAAACTAGTTTACACGTTATACATGAAGGAATTGGCTAGCGAGTGGAACTTTGATATTTTATATAAGTATGCCTTATTCAAAAGTAGACATGCGTATCTCTAATGGCAGCTTCCGAGAGAATCGACTGAAGTACTTAACAGCTGCTATATTTCGTGTTTTATCTGAGCGAGCTCCCTCCATCCGTGTGAAGTTGAGCTCGATTCGTGAAAAGTGTCAGCGGTGAATAAACTTCAGTGTCGTGTGTTTAACCTATATGCTACTCTCGTTTCAGACGGTTCTGGCAGTAGGGTGGAGTGTGTCGATAACCTGCGCTCTGCTATGCGTATTTGGGAAGCTTCCCTGGTACAGAAGTCCGAATCCAACGTCGGAAGCAATAAAGCTGCTCGCAGCATTTCTCGATCGGTTGCTGTGGGCGGTGTCCCTAATTTGGATTACGTTGGCCTGCTCTTCTGGACGAGGCGGTAAGGCTTCTTGAACAGTGTATCCTTCAATTGCTATGGTCTGTGACACTGTGTTGGCCGATTTAAGACACTCTCCGGTCGTCGGTGGGTTCGGAACGCAGTAGTTTGAAACGCAGTCACTAAAACAGTCTTTTTATAGCTTCAAGCTTATGGTGCAGTGGTTACCGAACCCCAACAAACTATTACTTCTTTATACGCTAAAGTTAGGTTTTGACTGCAGATAACAGCATGCAAATATTGAGCTAAAATAAAAACCAGTCCATCACCATCAGATAGAGATAAAATACCAGTCCATCACCATCACTTTAGTCTTCTTGATATATGCCATACAGTTAATTAGGCTAATGACCCATCTATCGAGTAAGCACTTAAAATAGCTTAAGACACTTCTGCAAGCACTTAAGATAGCTGTGGCTCACATAAATTAGTCATACGTAATATATGAAATCGCCATGGTGCCTTAATGTAACGGTGCTCCCCCGCTGACCTAAAAGACGTCAGATCGATGCCGTTCAAGGCGTTTGTCTTTCAATGGGGGCTAAATGTCAGAAGTCTCTGTACTGCCTGATGACACTGCATGTTAAGGGACCTCAGGCAGTTGAATTTATCCGGAACTCTTCGCTACGACATCTCCTATATAGATGGAGAGCCCGAGTCACTGGTGCGTTAAACCCCGTGTACCAATCTTACTTTGGTGGCCCGTCGTCCACATCTTTCTTGGTGGCTAGTCTGTACCTACCGTACTGTTGGCCATTGAAACACAATGATAACCGACCAATCGTCTAGGAAAGTGCAATCACGCCCATGTTAGCGTTTATAAACGGCAAATTAACACGAGGAAGTTGCTAGAGGCCTTTCACATGGGGCCGTTAAAAAGTGCGCGCATGCAAGCAATACCTGTAGAGGACCCAGCAATGTCCACTAGTCACTGTCATAACAGTGATAGCGAAGGTGTGATCGCCCAAGTTCACAATAATGAGATACAACGTTGTTTCTGATCCAGTAGGCTGTGCTGTTTATGTACCGAATAGAGCAGGAAAAATGAGATTACGTTATTACATTGTAGTTTGTACTCGCTCTTCAGTGGTGGGAGTAGCGTTCCGCCTGTGTTGCTAGCTGGTTATGGGTCCCGTAAACGATGATTGAATAAATTAGTCCAATCGGCAAACGCATTGAATATTTCTATGCTAAATTATGTACAATATTAACGGATTCAAACAAGGCACGAGTTTATTTTCTTTAGTATAATAATTGACTTGCGTAATTTCTCGGGGTAACCACGTCATGTCGCGAAGAATCTCTCCTCCAAAGATAATGCTGACTCTAATCTACGTGTTCAAACTGAAATTACGTCGATATGACACGTAATGAAAGCGGTAGAACTGAGAGTAAATGCGTTACTTTGACATAAAGTGCCCCTTTTCTATCTGTGAGTACAGTACTTACAGGCTATGCAATTATCTGACATATAAATCATCATCACCAGTCACGTTATTAAGACGCTAGCCGTGACGTATAGTGCAAAGTTCGCGTGACCTCCCAAGCAGCGGTGGTGATGGCTTTGCCATTATGATTTTGAATTTAGGAAGAAAAGATGTCAGCGTGATGTCAGCGTGATGGCAGTGAAGCGAGAGCTGAAACTACAACAATTCATTCTTTTTGAGCATTTGATTCTCTCAAGGTACCACGAATTACTGAACTACAGCGTCTGTGCTGTGCTTTGTATCATGCCTTCGCATATGTATGACATAACCACATACACATTGACGTCAATGCAGTGATATAAAAAAGTGCTCTGCAGCAGTGAAGACACCCTCGCAGGTTTTGAACAGCTGCGCAGGCTCTCCGTAATTTATCTCTCGGAAGCAGACATGATCATCACTATGATCAGGCGCGCGCTATTTTCGTCCTCTTCTTCATCGTCTTCCTGTTGTGCTTCACTTCCAGAACTATGCGGCAAATTCACGTGTGCAAGATTCAATAATCTTGTGGGGCTGATAGCGAGTACAGAGAAAAACAAAGCAAGAGAGAGGTAGATAAATAGTGAATGACAGGAAGGAAAACAAAGATTCTGGCAAAAAACTTTCTCGGTGAGGCAGGCTTCAAATGCGCACTCCCACAATCCGATGGCAAGCATCGCAACCATTCAGCTGTCCAGGCACGCTAGCATAGTAAGGGGGTGGGAAATAGAAGTGGTGTTGAGGAGAAAAAAAGGTGAGTATGAAGATTACGCAAACAAGGAGGGAAAGAGTAAAACCAAGCATAGAAGGAATTAGAAAGAGTGAAATAAAGAGCCGGAAAAAAGTATAGAAAAGGAACAGAGAAGGAAACAGAGAAAGACAAACAAATAGGTACAACTAAACAGGCCAAATCAGAAAAAAACCTGAAAGAAAGCCAGAGACAGTCTAGAGGATGAAAGGAAGAGAAATAAAGAAAGAACCCTTGCTGTGCGCTTCTTTCACGATTGGGTACTGCTAAGCTGCCTTGATTCTTCTTTCAACAGACACATTATTTATTGTAGCCAAATTTAAGTGTGTTATGTATACAATTAAGCTTATTTAAATGAGTACGGACTCAATATAAAGAAGTACAAACACAACAGACATTTCTCGCTCCTTTGGTATGCAGAGTAAACGCCTTCCCCATCGGATTTAGCCGACGTGCATAAAATATTTTCTATGACGTGAACGTTTTCGTCACCAAGCAACAGCAAGCCAGCCACACCACAGCGGACATTATGTCGGCGAGTAAAATCAGCACCATTGATTTCGTGAAACCTGCGTCCTGCATGCAGCGTGAAACACGCACACAAAAATGCCACTCAGTGTTGCTGGCGGCAATACACTCAACATTCTTATACCCCTGTCACACGGCCACCACCAAACTCCGTTGAACACCGTCAACACAAATCTCCCCTAGGGGGTTCAACGGAGAAGGAGTTGTGGCAGTGTCACACGGCAATGACGAGGTTGTAACAGTTGCCGCGAGGGGGTTAAGCTAGCGCTGTTTGATTTTCGGAAAAGTATTCTTATTTCACCTGTATTGTTTTTTTTGAGAATCCTCGTTATGCGGTTTTTTACAAAAGGCACTATTCAGTAGGTATGCGACTAACAAACCATTAAAAGTAATTTCAAATAAAAACGCATTTGCTAAATGTAGCGATGCTGCTAGTGACGCTGGCCACATTGTGCTTTTAGTTGTTTTGTTGCCTGCGTACACGGAGGAATACATGCCCGGTCCGAAATTTTTTATGCTTCCTTGCCTCGTGAGCGCACATTTTGTGTTCTTCAGCCATGAGTGACACAGCGGACGACGTGAGGAAGTGGTACGATATTGCGCTGGTAATAACGTTGATCGGCTGGCGCCGGCCGGCCCGACTCGCGAGGTACGGTGCGTAGGGCATCTGTGTTGAGAGTAAGTGAACTCTGGCGGGCATAAATATATGTAAACAAACACCCGTTGTGAATGAGTACTACAACGAAAGAACGTTCAATATTGCCAAAATGTATTATTCTTTCACTGTGGCCACTTAGTGCTCAAAATTTTTTTCTGACCTCTAGACTGCTGGAGACGAGAGTACCTCGTTTCGCTGCGAAGGGAGATCGTTGAACGTCCTTTGTGAAATGGTCCATTTACCTTCGTTTGAGTAAGGGTCGCCGTGTGACACGGATCGCATCTTCGTTGTTGTAAGGACGAGGGAGTTAAACAGTCTTCGCGGGTGCCCGTGTGACAGGGGTATTAAAGTGTGCACGAGAAGATGGCAGAGCTGCCGCTAGTACGTCACGAGCTGTTGTCTTCCCGAGACGTCACATTGCCATGGCCCATCGCGCATAAACCGCCACCCCGATACCAAGACTGAAGATGTCTTTTTAAGGTAGTGGTAATAAAAATGTATGCGATGTAGTCCTAATCACCCTTGTAATCTTTTTTAGGGTTCTCGAAACCCACATCCTTATTTATTGCAACAATCTCAAATTATTTAAACTTTCTGCAAGTATCTGGGCGTTTACTTAACGTGTCATTATCATGGGACATAGAAATTGACACCGAATATCAGCACTTATATAACAGTCGGATTCATAAAACGTAGCTATATTTTTGCCATTTCTGCAACAAAACAAGCTGGAACCCTAAATAAGCTGGAATCTCTTCCAAAAAAAAAAAAATTCTCGTTCATTAACAAAGAGTTACTCCCGTACACCTAGTATTAGTGAAATGAAGATGTCACTGAATTTGCATTCCTTGCTATAACAAAGACGGTTGTTTCTTGTGTCTCTCTTTCATGATATCTCCGGTAAAGGTTTTCAACTGTCTGCCTTTATTAAAGCTGCGCATAAAATATTTGCTCGCCTGGAACACGATATCAAATTACAACTTTTATTTCATCAAACTAGCCTATTTTTATATTCTCCTTTAGTGCTTGCTGCTAGCCTAATTATTCAGAAGAACTGATTTACGATATTGTCTGTATAACAAAGAAGGACAAAATTACTCGCCAATAAACCTGCGTCTTGTTGTCAGAGTGACTTCGCATAACTCTGTCAGATCTATACGTTCATTTAGCAATTTCTTTAGCACATCGTATTACCTACAGTAACACAGTCACTTGACTACTGCTTCAGAGGCAGATGACCTGCTCTCTTTTTTATGTTACGCTTTCTTTCTAAGTTCAGTTGGTTCTGATACTTGCTTTTCTGCATTGTTAGTAAAGATTAATACCGGGTTTCGCGCAAATGATGTTTTTTTAATTTCTAAAAGTGTTGTTTACTTGGTTGATTTTATGCATGTGTGCTAATTCCACCTTCCCCACCTATGTACTAGTGGTGAGTCTTTGGAGTAGATAGATGAATGAATGAAAGAATGAATGAATGAATTAATGAAAGAGACGTTGTCACGATTGACAAATTTCATAGATACGTGCATTAGTGCACCCCCAAACTCCTATGCACCCAGTGCTTTCGCACAAGGAAAGGATCACTCTGAAAAGACGAACAAGGACAAATTGAGATAATCAGTGTTTGAATGCACTTTCGGAAACAAAAGATAACACTACTGATTGCCCCAATCTGCTTGCAGGGTTCGTCAGCAAGTTCCTGTCGTGGAATGCATTTGTACCGCTGAGCAAGCTCTCATTTGGGGTGTACCTGATCCACCTGCCTTTTATTCAGCTTTACCTACATGCCTCCAGGGAGCGCATATACTGGTCACTGTTTCAGTTGGTAAGAGAAATAACATACATTTATATTTTATTTATTTATTTATTTATTTAGGTCTACATATAAAGCTTACTATTATTAAATAAATAAATATTTGTGTACATGTTAGGGTTAGAATTTTTTATTTAGAATTTAATTACCATATACCTCTTAAGGCCCCGCCTCTTCGTAAAAGGTGTGCGTTTCTACGTCAAAGCACCAGTTGTAGCGCTTCATGTATAGTTAATGACTGCTAAGTAGTAGAAGTTCCCTAAGGTGCTTGATATGTGTTCAAACCAAATGCAGAAATTGTATATATATTTTTTTCGTGTAAGTAGTGCATTTTATTTGATTCGGGATATGTAGAAGGTAAAGTGGTTCACGAGATATGAACGCATTTTCAAGATGGAGTAATAAAAAAATAAACGGCTAGTTAAAAGTGTCCACGTATCACGAGAGAATTTTATATCTCTAAATTTTTCTTTCAACTTCTCCTCCTGAATACTTATCACATGACAATCACCGAAGCGCGCCATAGAACGTAGCTCACTAATGTTTCGTCTTTTATGACCACCCAAGTTTCACATGTAAAGACTGACGAGCAAACATATGTGCAGCAGCACTCTCAAATGCAGCCGGCAGCTTCATCAGTAATTGTTATTAAAAATCATATTTAAGTTTTTATATCTCGCGATTACTCACCAAGGTTTAATGTTCATCGTCAAACGGTAGCGAAATAATTCATGATCCTTTGAATTATCGTTTTGCTTCTAGCAGGCTTTCACATTTTAGTGTATGTCGCAGAAACGTCGTGCTCTTAGTCGCTTACAATTTAAGATGGTTAATGCTTGCGCTTTGTAGCAAAATGGCGGTCTGTGCCGAAACAACATTGCTACGGGCATTATGTTGCGGCTGTTAGTTTTGCCCCGCAGCGATAGTGTTGGCACTACAAAAAAAAAAAAAGCTGAATCGAACACTGCCTACAAAGTCAGACCTTCTCACTGCCATCGTCATTGCTGCTTGTGCAGTTACCTAAAGAACGACAGAAGGTCATGCCAGGCGACGCTACCAATATTTATACTATAAATGAAACACGGGCATTTCTACACGTGATAGATGAGCGAACAGGCTTTAATGTTTATTCGGAATATTTTACGCAAGAATTTAAGACTATTCAGGTAAGTGAGGTAATTTACGTAGTGTAGTACTCAAGTGCGCGTAGCACAGGAAGTAGTGTTTGCGGGCTCTTTTGCTAGATGGTGCCACGTTATCCACCTAAGTTCAAAATTTCGAAACTGATTGCGGGCTTTGTGAATCGGAGTGCACACACCATCGTCCGCACTTTCTGTTGACAATAGTGTTTCAGCTGGACTTTTAGGGGCAAAGCTCCTTATGGTCTAGGGCAGTGCGTTCCTCCGGCGTGGCGAGCACAGCATATCCACAGACAGACAGACGGACGGACGGATGGATGAATGGACGCTTCGCCCCACTTATTGTAATTCACACCGTGAATATGCTTCGATTTTTTACTTGACATCACCCTAATTAGGTCCTATAAAAACTGAATTCTACAGCCTTCATAACGTCTGAGGAACTGGTACCGTATGCAGGGTAGTATAATCCTGGCTATGGCGGCACCGTTAAGGTCAGCGATTCTAACGCGCAGGTCCTGCGGAGAGCTTTTCTTCTGTCTGTACTAACCCTGTGGTTGGCCGAACGATACCAAGTTCCGCCAGTTCACTCGTATCCTATCTTGACATCTTCTGTAGACTATCGTCGAGATTCCACAACTCCCGGCTGTGGCGGCTGTATTTCCGATGGAGGCGGAAATGTTGTAGGCCCGTGTGCTCAGACTTGGGTGCACGTTAAAGAACCCCAGGTGGTCGAAATTTACGGATCTCTTCACTTCGGCGTCTCTCATAATCATATGGTGGTTTTGGGACGTTCAACCCCACATATCAATCAAGATTCTGCGGCTTACTCGCCACAAAATCATGAGTCGTTACAGTGTACTCATGTGAGAGAAAGTTTCACTTTGAAGTCATGGGTGCTCATCTGGCGATAACATTGTCAGTATGCGATCATTCCCGGCTTTTGAAAAAAACAAAGAAACTCGATATGCACGCCAGTGCTTCCAATTACGATGCACGCTTAATGTGCTACCTAATGTTTCTCAGACTGACACCACATGGATGTTGTAAGATTAACCTAAAATATCCCTGACTCAAATAGGAAAATAAAAAATAGTTCAACTGCGTAAAAAAGTGGTCATAAGATGTTAATATGTATTGTTGCAGAACATACAACACGTTTTCGCACTTTGATGCTCTTTCACTTTTTCCTTTTTTTTTTCAGTTCACGTTATTATTTGCATTTCTCGTGTGGACTTACCTGCTGGCATACTTCGCTTTCCTGGCGTGCGAAGCTCCGACGGCCGCTCTGGACAAATTCATTTTCAGCAGACTTATTGGAGGCGGGAGTGCGAGGAAGCCGGAACACCAAACGCAACAAAATGGCGGTGTCGTGAAGCCACAGATCATAATCGAAGACGGTGTATTTTCACGCTGTTGAGTGAGCAGCTGAACAATTGGTGCGGGTACCTTACATTTCCTCGTGGCGTCAATTGTGGACTCTCAGAACGCTCAGTGGAAGCATCTGATGACGAAGACAGTGCCTCCGTGGTGTTGAAAATATCTCCAGGGATATGAAATGTAAGAGTGCTTGGTTCTTTCGTTAGCGTGACGGCTGTTTTACCATACGTTAAGGCGCTTTAAGTGCCCCCGAGACTAGCACAATTTTTTTACTGCAGCGTTTGTCGTATGCTGATCATCCTACTCACAACTGCTACGATTGGGTTTAGAGAAGTTTGTCCCATCGTACTGAGAAAACTTTCTTTTTCTGTAGGTGACCCTTGCACTGTGAGGCACAAGATATAATCGTAATATTAACAAATGCAGGGAGCGAGATTTTAATTGAATGAACAGGCCCCTAGGTCGTAGAAGTAGTATTAGGATTTCGTAAATTTTGTTCCAAAGAAAGTCTTGCAAACTTACACAGAGTTCTTCGGTACGCAAATTCTTCAGTGCGCAAACTTTTTTGTTGAGCAGAGTAGAAGAAAATTTTTTGCTAGGTTTATTAAGGTCTCACACAAGCTTTACTGATAATATTGCACCGAAGAGCTGTGCAACTAAAGCCAGCATTTTCAGCATACTTAGAAGATGCAGTTCACCAAATTGCTATGTTGTTATCAAGGGTTTTAGGCCTCAAAACTGGGATAAGGTTATGAAAGACGGTGCATCGGAGGGCCCTAGAAGTTTCCATCATCAGTTGTTATTTGACCTGCAGTCATATCGCAAAGTACACAAGCCTTTACCATTTCGCTTCCATCGAAAAGCGGCCGCAGCTGTCGGTATCAAAACCACAACCTTCGGGTTTACCAAATTTCGATATTGTTCTCCATTGTAGTGTTACATAATCATGTATGTGCGTGATGTATGAATATTTTGTTGCCATTGTGTTGCATTTTCGACCATCTCATTAAAGCCACTACAAAAATGAGTGATATGTTTTCCTCTTCCCTCAAGCGTAATAACTTTGCGCCTAACGAACTGCAGATGAAGAATGTGACAAATATGCTGATAAGTGTCTTTGCGTTACTTTCTTGTCTGCTGAATGATCAAACTTTTCAAGACACCGACTGACTCGAAAAGGTGCTTCTTATATCTGAGAGGAGCGGGTGCTGGGCAACCATGGCATCGAAAGGCGCTGCAGAACTACCGAAGCTGGGAGTGACACTGAGTCAGAAGCGCTGGATAGTTTGCACTGGTGTGCTTGAGGGCAAGTGACAATACAATGGACACTGTAAGGAATTAGCTATCACCGGAGACCACAAAAAAGTGGACCTTTCAGACTTAGACACGGGCGAGGGTGGTATTCAAATTGTTTGAATCGTATACAAGATATACATAGTGCGCATTCAATAGCTAACAACACCAACTTCCCAAAGAGCTGAATAAAGCTGAGTGAACCTTATTACTTAATATGCCAACACTGATTCGCTGTAGCCCCAATCGAAAGTTATTTAACAGGACATAGAGCATTGGTCTTAAAATTAGAGATAGAAGGACATGCTAACATGCTTCTAGAAAGCAAGATATCGGTAGTACGAACCCAATGATTGTTGAAAGAGTCCTAACGTACGAGGTTGTCAAACGTCTTCCCCACGTCACAGAAACAAGCCACGAGGTCAATTTTCAGTGGCTACCTGGTCATTGTGGGGAAAGTGGCAGTGATTCCGCAGACAAAAAGGCTCGCACATCCTGCCAAGAAGAGCACACCCTTCCAATTTTTCTGTCAAGGTGAGGCGCTGCAGGGCAACTTCGTCCCCTGGCAGACAGTCTGTGTCTGCTGGAGTGGAATACCCCAAGCATAAGACATATAAGAATCCATCAAATAAACCCTTAACTGGAAAGTATTTTCTTCGGGGTTGTCTTCAAAAAAGTATATACAACCCTCATTGAAGTGACCGACAGTGTGCAATGCGAAGTCTGTGGCACCGAAAAAGACATCGGGCATCTGATATGCCATTGCCCTCGATTCGCTTCGGAGAGACAAACACTTTTCAATGCGTTGCGACAATAGGATGATCAGCCACTGTCACTGCAGATGCTGCTGGAGCACTGTCCTCGTCTTTCATCGGCTGAAAAGGCAGTCAAAGCCCTCTTGCGCTTTTTGGGGACTACGGCCCTGTGTGAACGCCTGTAACTTTTGTGTAGTGCCACCGCTGCTTACGCGTCAGCCCATCGCCTGACATTTTTTTTTCTCTTTCCCTTCTCTTGCATCTTTCTCTCATTGTTATACTCACCTTATCCTATCCCCCAGTGTAGGGTAGCGACCCGGGCATGTTCCTGGTTAACCTTCCTGCCTTCTCTCTTGTCGTCCTTCCTTCCTTCCTTCCTTCCTTCCTTCCTTCCTTCCTTCCTTCCTTCCTTCCTTCCTTCCTTCCTTCCTTCCTTCCTTCCTTCCTTCCTTCCTTCCTTCCTTCCTTCCTTCCTTCCTTCCTTCCTTCCTTCCTTCCTTCCTTCCTTCCTTCCTTCCTTTCTTCCTTTCTTCCTTTCTTCCTTCCTTTCTTTCTTTCTTTCTTCCTTTCTTCCTTTCTTCCTTCCTTCCTTCCTTCCTCCCTTCCTTCCTTCCTTCCTTTCTTCCTTCCTTCCTTGCTTCCTTCCTTCCTTCCTTCCTTCCTTCCTTCCCAAAATGAAACTCGGTAAGAAAAGTACCCGCATATATGACAGGTAGTATGTTTCATGAAAGAAAACTCATTCAACGTGCCCTAACCACTGCATTTGCATACGAATTCAATGGCGCCAAAACTGAGATTCTCACCTTCACTTCAAATATTGAATAGCCTGATAGTAGATGATTAGTTCATACTTTACCAGTGCCGAGTTCGTCGACTATGTGGACAGCCAACTACAATGTTTTCAGAGCCGGCGTTTTGGGCATGCAGTTATGTTCTAGCTTGGGGAGCATAGCTGTAACCTCTGTGGAGGGCCACGTGAATTTGATGCAGGTGCCAGCAAAAAAAAATGTGCATGGTAGCTCCGGTGGTAACTACCCAGCTAGCGGTGGCCTATAAGGAGTCTTTCAATAGCTGCCGAGCGAGAGATTGTTTACATTGGGTGCGAAAGATGCAAGCGCGCGAACGAACACAACACCTCCACCGCGCCTTGTCTATCCACCACACCTTGTCTAAGTGGTGTTACGAATTCTCCGCGTCTGAAAGTAACATCGTAGATTTTCTAGAATTGAAACAGGTACCCTTCTTAACGGGCTTTTGTGAAGTCGACAGTTTTGGTAATAATAAATAGAAGTGGAAATTTTCAGTGATTTTGCTAAGCATATCCATGGTATTGTAATATAGAGAAGACGCTGCCCGAAACAGCTGAGGCATAAAACGCCTTGTTCAGCGTGTATTATTAAATAAATGAAGAACTGGTTTTCATGTAATAATTCAATTGCAGCAAGTTGGTAAATACGGCACTCAGTCTGAGAGCTGTTGCCACAGGAAGTGGTAAACAGGAACAGCTATTTCTCTAGGTTACTTGTATAATAGAAAATCTGGCCTATTTTGTTTTAATAGGACTGTGTAATCCAAAACAATGCCACATTACTGAATATCGCACTCAGTGACAAAGATGTTGGGCACAGTTTCGACTTTGATTCAGGCGTTATGTTATGTATTTGTAGCATCTTACACTGTACAAAAAATTTTCAAGGTTGGCAAACAACTTTCGCGGCAATAAAACAGCGAGGATCATTTCAGAGCTCCAGCTCTTTCTTTATCTGCTGCTACTTTCCAAGAAGTATTACGGCAGGAATTGTTATTGCAGTAGGAAACGCAACATACATTGCTACCAAAAAAAGATTGCCCAAACTGAGTGTACATTCTTGCGATTACAGGATGTGCTTCCCTATACATGGTGCTTGTGCACAGATTTCCAGCTATTTCTGATATCGCTTGCGGCACTGCAATCTTTGAAAAGAGAAGTGACGTACACCACTATGCCACCAGCTGCAAACCAATAACTTAAAAGAATTGCACTATATCACGCTATAGGGAACCACCTGGGGATGGAAAGCAGGGCTAAAGTTCAGTTGTGTTTCTATATTTGTTGTTTACATTTGAATGTTTTTGTGTATGTTTGATTTGTGTGTAAATTCGGGTATATGCTGTGTACCGCTAATGTTATCCTCTCTCTTTTCACGCTCACGCGAGGACAAGGGAAATCTAGCCGATGCAGTTAAGGAATGGATGGTCGCTGAGGGACGTACACAGCCCCGAGAAAAAGCTGTTTTGCGGCGTCTAAAAAAGGGGGCATAGCTTGCACTAGTGGCTCAAGGTTTCAAGTCGTAGATGTAGAAGCGGCTGTTCTGTGTTTCGGTAACAGATGTCAATGTGGCCCTCGGCAGCAGTTCATTGTAGCGAAAATCCGTGACATCACTTTGCAGCGAGCTGCCGTTCAGCAAGGTCAACGTGAACTTGTTTTCTCTAAACTCGTCCAAGGCGGCTCAGCAAGCGCGGCATATCGTTTCGCCACAACTGGCGGAGCAGAGCCGTTGCACGAAGCCAAGCGCAAGCCCGCCGCGGTGTCTTCACAGCGCATGTGCTGTCACGTGCCGCTCGCTGGAGCCGTTTCCTGTCGGGCTATTCTGGACATTGTCTAATTCCGCCATATTGTCAAATTTCGTAACGGCGACATTTCAAGCCAATGAGTGAGGCCGTAGAAGTTCACTTGACCGATCAGGATCGATCAATGGCGAAGTCTGACAGCTTGGCGGAATTCGACAATGTCCAGAATAGCACCCCTGGCTAGCTAGGCAGGCGGTGCGGTGGCGGATACTCCGGCTGCGCGCAGCGTCTCCATCAGTGGCAATGCATTGCGCCAGGTGCGACACGGTAGTATTGCGATGGGGTGGAAACGCTGCGGCTTCGCCGTTTCCACCATTTCCACCCACCCATCACCCCGGTCGGGTATCCTACTGAAAATAATTCATAAACAAAACACTTATTTTATCACGTAACTAGTTAGGCGAGCTGATAAAGGGAAAGAGTGCAAAGCGTGGGTAGAAGGTTGCTGCGAAAGTCTCCCTTTTCCACTTCGCATGTAAGCGGAAAGTGTTAGTGCTCTTTTGCCCGTCGTCTAGCCACTCGGGCAATGCTACATTTGTTAAATTTAGTCGAGCTTTTTAACTTTTGTTCGGGTGTTGTGAAGTGGACAAACAAAAGCTGACCAATTTTTTAATAAGAGAAAACTGCATCAACACAAGTAGTATGAACGTCTTTTTTTATCGCACGTGTCATCCTAAAACAGAGACACTTACGAAGTGGGAAAAATTAGTTGGATCATTGCACAACTGAAATATTGAAATAATGACCAATGACCCTATAATGTCTGAACCCATTGGAAGACTGTTGCACTCGCGAGCACGTCATGTGGGACTCGAGGCACGTTTCTTACGAGAGATGCATGTTTGCTTTCAGATCTTGAATACCAAACAAGACAGAAGGGCAGGAGAAGATAGCGGCGTGAAGCGCCAAGAGACCATGTAATAGCCACTGTTTCGGCTAGTTGACCTCTTTTCGTGAAGGAATTGCCTTGAGAAAAAAATATTCACTTGTCTAAATGGTGGCCCTAGCGACAATTCCTGTTCGATTATTTTTCAAAGCATCACTAAGTCCATTACACATACTTTATTGACCGTATTAGAGCACATGCCCACAAAGATTCTAGCCAGCTATATGCGTTCCCATAAATAGAAAGAGGGCTATTATT